ACGAGACTTACGGTGCCCCGACCGATCCTTCGATGTTTCGGCAAGGTGTACGGACGACGCGTTTACCATACCGTCGGATTTCTCACGACTCGGAAGACGGTCGGCTTACAAGTTGAAGGGCTTCGCTTCGGAAGAGAGCTTTAGCTCTCACGTCAGCGGATCTGATCCGACATTGTCGAAACATGCACGTATCCTCGACTAAGAGGGATTCCTCAAGTGTTCAATACTTACAAGAGCGGGAGAACGGAGAGGCGAAATTCGGTCCGCTTAGTTCCCCAAGGGTGGCCGGTCAGGTCCAGCTCAGATCACTGGAAGATGAGTCTTCAAACCGAAAATGTAAAACGGCTCGTCTACTTGAAGCTTTGAACGGTTTCCAGCTGGACAGACTAGCTTGTGCATGGGTTGATTACAAATCGGAATGCTGGCGCTCTACTCTACTTAAGGATTCCATTCACGAGGCATTGCTCTACTCCTCCGAAGGAACACACCGCTGCAAGAAAGCATCTGACGCTCCGCCGCCAAACCGCTAGTAGTGTACGGTATTCAACAGCTTGCTTCAACAAGGGCGGCATGCGCCGTAAGCATAGCAGATCCAGAGGTGCCATCATCGCCTCCAGTCGGGAAATGATGAAGTGAATATGCGTGGCAGTTCGGAGATAAATTAGAAGATAAGTCTTGCTTGAGGAGGTTGGCTGAAAACTCATTGGTGCCCACATTCTGCAAGCAAGCGACAGGTCTGGCTGAAAGAGCATGAAACACAGTGGGGTTTGGATCCTGAAGTCAAAGGAAGGGAACAAAGAAAGCTCTCGTTGAAAGGATCGCTCCAAGCTATGCATCATCACGAGGAAGCTCAGGGTAGAGTCTGCTCGTGTGGGACTTCAACTGAAACGCCAGCCGTCGGATTGAGAGTGCTGTGCGCGATCGACGGCTCGGAGGGCTCGGTGCGCGCGTTCCTGTTCGCCCTGGAGAGAGTGGTCGTTCCAGAGCGGAACGACATTCTCGTGCTATTTGAAGCCGCCAGACCTTTGAACCGTAAGCTTTCTGCTTTGAGGCTCTGCGTGCTAACGAACTGATGACTGTTCTCTCCGGATTCGACACGTCTTCCGTTTCTGTGTCCCCACATGATTCAATCTATTGTAGGAGTGCAAGCGCAGAGATGCTCTTGAATCTAAATTAGTAGGGTCATTGAGAATCAAGTTCTCTTGCTTCCAATTGTCCTTAAAATGTCCACAACTTCGCGCGGCCAACATGTGCTGTGCGTTATCTGCTCCATTTATTTCCATTGAAAACTTCGGGTACGCTTGCGCCTTTATGATCCAAGCTAGGTCGATCCGTCGAAGAGGACTTGTCTGTTCCGCGCAGGTCGATTTCCATATCGAGGAGGCGTCTCGTCTTGTCTGCACGAAACTCGGGCCATGACCAAAAGCCATAGCTGAGCCACCTCAATCGTGATAACCGGAGCTTCTTTGCTTACTTCTCAACGACTTTAACCCTCTCCAGTTGGCTGATGAAAAGTCTCTACGCCGGTTCGGGTTGGGCACTTTCTAAAGTTTCTACTTTGCAGCCAACACTCCAGATGGCGAACCGCAGCGACCAGGTTTCTGGAGCAATTTTTCCACCTTCTGAACTTTCGGCAACGCGCTCGCTCCCAGTAATCCTCCTGGTGTCTTTTTTCGTTCTCGGTAACCCTGCCCCTCGGTCTCAGTAACCCTCCTGGTCTTTCTTCCAACCAGAATCCTGACGAAGATAGTCTGACCGCAAACTCCTGATAGAGCTGCGAGGTGACCTTTTTGCCTGAAATTATTTCAACGTCGACCATCTCAAATAGAGCTGATTGCATCTGAAAAGCCTCTCTCAATCAAAACCATCCTACCAAAGGCCCTTAAGTTTTGCCGCCAATTCTAGATCCCTTCGAAATCACCAGGCCGCAGACCGCACTCCGTTTGAGAAACCCCACTTAATGAGTCTAAGATGCTCTCACCCGTCCATCAACTTTGAGTTCAGCTGTTGGGCAATCTTTTCCCGGAGGCAGAACTGCAGTAAGAAGGTTCCTTCCTTTTTCCAGCCGAGATATTGGCGGACATGACCAAGCGGCAGAGCGACTTCGTCCAGGAGTTGGAGGAGCTCAACTGCGGCGCGGAGCTGCGCGTCATGAGCGACCAGGCGGACGCGCGCGGGGTAAGCCGCGGCCGCGCCGCGCTCCGTTTCGTGGGAACGACCGCTCTCGGGCAGGCATAAGCATTTCGTCCTGTGGAAAGGGGCTCAGAAGGGAAGACTTACCAGCACTGCGGAGCTCTCTAGGAACCTTTCAAGAGCCTGCAAAGTGCTGTGATTCGATCCGACGGCTACAGTCAAAGATTAACATAATTAACGGGCGGCGACGGATGCTCGAATCCAATCTGTAGACCACCAAGGGCTCTGTCAAATTTCAACGGGCACGAGGCGCTTGATAACCGTCTTGAAGGTGAGAAGGTTGCGCGCAGGTTCACACCGAGTCGGTGGTGCTTTTGGGGGATCCCCGGGAGTTGATCCCCGAGTACGTCGCAAAGCACCCGGTGGACCTCCTAGTGGTGGGCAGCCGGGGTCTCAGCACTACGAGACGGTGAGCATTTTCTGACCCTCTTCTGAAGCCTCAGGTATTCTACTGCCTATGATTGTGCGCCTGGATTTGCAGATGTGTACAAAGCGCATGGCTCAAGGGGACATTATTAATCAGTCCAACCCAGGAGAATTTTTAATATTCGGCCGTTGGGCAGCTATCTTCGCTGGGAAACATTGGTTCGGCTGAGCAGGCGCGTATGGAGGTAAGCTGTATCTGTCGATCGGAAGATGATCTTGGGACACGTCTCTCAGAGTTGGGACACCTTTTGACCGCTGTAAGTGCAATTGTGAATAGCGTCCTAGTGCCGCCGATTCATCCCATTTATCTTACTGCGAACTTGAGGAAGTCAGACGGCCGCCCGGGATGCCTTGTAGGAAGCCATCGATCTTATGGTCTGTCGGAAGTCAATCAGCTCATAAAGGCTCTGCATGGGCCAGAGAGAGATCAATCCCGGAACACCACACCAATCCATCTACAGAAGCTCCCGACCGTAAAAGCGCGCAGAACCACTTTTTCCCAATTTTCAAGCCTTTAATCGTAGGGAAGGCGTGCTGACGTCTGATGCATCTTCTAAGCAGCCGAATGGCAGAGAAAAGCCGCCATCGACCAATTTTGGTTAGCAAGAGTTAGGTGCTGGCGGTGGTTAGTGCCACGTCATTCATTAAGCCCTCTTACTCCCTGTTAACCCCTCTTATCGCCTTTTAACCCCTCTCCCTCGGCCTTGTAGGCTATTCTTGGGCAGCGTCAGTTCGTATCTTGTCGACCACAGCCCCGTCCCGGTCATGGTCGTCCGGGCTCAGGCAGACGGAGAGTAGCAGCGAACGGGGATCTCTTCGAAGACTATAGCTGTTAGGTACGGCCTCCAGCAAACGAGAAGTAGAAGCAAACGAGAATCTTTTCGAAGTCTGCAATAGCTGTTAAGACACGATCATACGATCATAGTTGTCTATATTGGTGCCTAGATGTTTGCGCCGTGACGCCGATATGCTTGCAGCGCTACGTCTAAGTTGAAACACAATTATCTGGGAACGCTGTCACTGATGCACGTATTTGATCAGACCAGGTAACGGTCTGCAACTGAAGGTCCGTTTTGAGTGAAACCCTATGCATCAGCTACATCGCGATCTTTTCTTATGTTTGCGAAGCTCTGCATAGTCGATCCTCGGGCACCTTCAAGAGGCCGTGGATATGGTCTTTTATGATGCACATAAGGGCCTCAAGCACCCGCGCTTGATCCTGGTTCCAAAGCAAGGGAGAAAGTGGGCTCCCTTACCGTAAGCCCAAGAAACATCTCACGTAGCATCGGCAAAGTCGGAATATCAGCGACTATGCCAGTGAACGACGTCGCCTTGTAATTGGATAGCGTTTTCGACGCGCCACAAATCGCAACGATTGTAAGCCGTCGGGGGACGCCGCATACCTCATTCTACTCGATAGAACATTTCTCTCGTTCTGTCAAGCCAAGACACTGCTCCGCGCAAGCGAATCTATGAGCATTTCTGGGACGCGTTCCGTAAACGAAAAGGGGGGAAGTTTACAAGTCTTGCATCCTGGATCAGATGGCTAGAAAGTGCCCGAATATTTCTACCCAAGTGCACAAGATCATTGACGGTGCAATCATCCCTGTCTACATCACGCAGCTTTATATCAGTCAAAAGGCAATCCTACTGCTGATCAAACACATTTATCCACGGCTATCGGGCAACCAATACTGGATATTCTCCCAGTTTTAAAGACGTCTGCACATGTGCCCAAGCATTCAAGTCATACGCAGTAAACTATCTACGTATGCTTCCGAGGTAACTTTTGTGGAGAATGCGTCTAGGTAGTAGGCAACCTATGCGGATACGACTCAGGTCCTGCCACGTGTCACGACGGGCTACCCTTATTTCGCGGGCGGCGGAACGACCACGACCGGAACCGTGCAGTGTTGCACCAGGAATGTGCTGACGCTCCCCAAGAAGAATCTGCAGAGCACGGAACGGATGCAAGTAAAGCTGCTATTTACAGGGAAACTCATGTTCAAGATAAACTGTTCTGATGGCTTCGTATAAATTATGGGGTCGCAGTCCCCCGAAATCATGATCCCGCCCAGGATTGATGCAGATGCTGAGGGGACCTGCGGAGATGAACCAGAAGGGGATAAGCAGTTTCTTGGGGACTTTCTGACTCATCGAAGTAGAGGGACGGATTGACTTGCTGTCCTTGTTGTTGCTCACAGACTTTCTCTCGCACGACTTATCGTAAATCTGGGAGCATTTAAGGTTTGAAGAACACACGGGCCTACCTCGCATGAGGCGACACAAGGTTGCTCGTTGTCACGGATCCATCTCTGGATTGGCTTCTGATCAATGCTGAGTTTTGGTGCCATATGCTGCCGTATTTTCCGTTCTTTCACGTTCTGGAGTATGGTAGGCCACAACTTAACGATTCCGACAAAAGTGTGCACTTTTCAAAGGGCACAGATTCGCAACTATGTAGGCTCGGGTATACAGGAGATTCAGCTCACCGCTTGATGGCGCTCATTCCCCGACTGCCCACCACGACGAGGTCCACCGGGTGCTTGGCAATGTACTCGGGAATCGCCTCCCGGGCATCGCCCATCATTACCACCGGCTCACACGGGACCTGGGAGCAAGAACCGGGAATAACGTCAGGTTCATCCACACCGCCGCTAGTCGCGCGCGCGCTCAAAGCGACCGAAGCTTCAGAAAGAGAGCTGCCAGGTCAAAACGCAAAGCCCTTTGCCCTTAAAGAAGAGAGCCTCTGCCGGTCGAGAGGAACAGAACTCCAGATTGAAAGGTCTCAAATGCTGCTTACTAAACGGAGGTCTCGACTTTTTCCATTTCGCAAAATAGTGTCCAAGACGCTTATAACCTGCTCCGGTAATTTGCACCTTTTGAGCGGCGAAAATGGCGGACATAGATTCTTCGTAAAGGCGTCAATTCAGGTTTGAGCTATCAGAAAGGAAAGGAAACTTGTGAGAGTTTCCAGCACCGCTTCCAACCGCCACGGAGACATCCAATGGCTAAATAACATTAAAAAGAAATAAAAACGGTATTATATATGGGCGCAATGGTTTGAAGAGCCATTCAGCACTCTCCCTAGAGGCGAATTCCTGAAGCCTTCAGATCGTACGGAAAACGTGAAAGCTTCGTAATTTGGTCCAGAAATAGCAACACAAATGGGCACCTAATAACGTATACCAATTCCCGACACGCGCAGTCGATACGTAAGCTGTCGCTTCAGAAATCTTCGACGTTCACGGCAACTCTCTTCAGTATTCTTGTGCTGTTTGGCAGAGAATCCACTCAAGAATGTTATGGAAAGTTCAAGGAAGTTGCGAGTGGCCGTACCTTAGTTGACATGGCTAGCTCCTGAAGTCCCTGGAGGGACTGGTTGATGCGCCGCGTCTCTTCTCGCTGGAGCGACTCCGGCTTCGTAATCATGCTCTCCGTGGCCATGAACGAAGTGGCCGCTGCGCGCGCACTGACGGGTCAGACGATGACGCCAGATTCACATTCACTGGATTCGTCTATTTCAGCGAAGTTGGAAGGTTAAGGCGCAAGCAATTTTCAAAAGAGCGGACGGAGAACCATATGATTAAAGTCTTGCTTGCAGATTTGAGCGATCGGAGCTTTCTTTGTAGAGCATTTGATAAACAAACTGTGCTTCAAACCATTTTTGGGCAGACTGTGCGCAGGCAGGACATCGACCAGAGATTATAACGTCTAGAAGATCCCTTTCTCCGCCGTTGCTATTTCGAGGCAAGCAAATCGCTATTCAGATTGATCCGGATTTGGGACCGACAAAAACACAAGCATTGCTCTGACGGAAAACGTTCATAGGCTGTGAATTCAAGCAGAAAATTGACCAAGTCTTAACCCAATGTGCCCTCTTCCCATCAAAAGATTCTGATTTCGAATCCATCCTCGCTCTCAATCGCCATAACACTGAAGAAAACGTAATCCGCACAGAATGGAAGACAAAGACTGCTTATAAAGATTCTGTATTGCTGGAATAAATTTCTAGAATCAATTTCCAGTCCGTGATTGTAGGTGAACTCGGAGCTCACGGCTGATGGACTCCACGGCTTCGTAAAGGACTATGCTGTCACTCCGCTCCGACGGGCAGGCGAGTCTTTCGCTGGCGAACTCGAACGCCGCGCGCGCGCCCTTCGACCCGTCGTACGCGCACAGGATGCGCCGCCCGTCCGCGGCCGCGCGCGCGCTCCCTCCTCCGCTCTCCTCCCTTTCGCCAGAGGTTTGGGGTTCCTCTTTTTGAGATTGCGCGGGCTCTGTTTCAGTTGCTGCAGAAGCTGCAGCCGAAGAGCGCTCCATTTTTCTCAGGTTCTGAAGAGCAGGCGCTCCTTAGAGGGTTGATCAAGGCCCGCCTTAACTTTCACGCAAGCTCTCAAAGCAACACCTCTGCAGCATGCTTCTCAAAGCTCGACCTGCAGTTGGACATTCATCCCTCTTCCTCGCAGCGTCAGCCAGAGCAGACTCCTCAGACAGCTGTCTTCCTGGTGGGGCGTTCCTAGTCTTGGAAGAAAAAGCTCAAACTTTGAAAATCAGTGGGCGCAGCACAGTTGACGTGGTGTAGCCTGCGGGAAGAGGCGCACTCGTTCTGCTTACGTCGAACCAGCGACCTTGATGCAGAGTCGGTTTCAAAAGAGTGGTGATCGTTGCGCATGGGGGTTCGCTGTGCGCGTGACGAAGCAGAACGGAATCGAGTTGTGACGTGGACACTGCGACGCCTCGTCGGCCAGGATCGCCCAATTCCCGTTTCAGACCACCGCGAGAGGCCGAAGAACTGAATTCCTGCATACGGACAATCTGCTCTCAACTCCGCCCACTGAAAGCAAACTGCTCAGCCATGAAGATGCTTTTCCAAGAGAATTCAATCCTCAAATGACCACGGCACTTCGACTCCCGGTGCCTCGCCTCTCGCTTTTCAAAGGCATGGGGCAAAATCTTTCGAGGTTGTAGCTTCCCGACAGGCGCAGCAACGCGCGCAGCACAGAGAGCGGCGCCACCAAAATGGCGGACACGATTCCCGCCGCTTCTGCGGCCGCGCAGCAAGCCGAAGAGAAGCAGGCAGAAACCTCTGAACCCTCTGAAGTTCGGCCGGCCAGGAGCGCGGGCGGACGGCGCATCGTGTGCGGGATCGACGGTTCTGAGGGGTCCTTTGCGGCGTTCAAGTTTGTGAGAGAGACGCTGGTCAACCCGGAGCGTGGGGATAGGGTCACTCTGGTGCGGGCCTTTGAGCCCATGAACCGTGAGTTGGACACAATCTTTCGAGCAGATTTCAGTTCTGATTTTCTGGAAGCAGAATGGCAAAAACTTGCACCGGGGGTTAGCAAAATGTGAGATGTTGGCTCAGTAAATTTGATGAATATCGATAAATGTAGCAGGAAGCAGGTCGATGCTTTAGAAGCTCATGTAGGATGTTGGCAGGGCTGGGGACTGATGCAGGTGCGACACACTTGAATTTCAAATCAACAACAGGCACCGGTATGAGATCTGGATCTTCATTATCATTTGGGTACATGATAGTGTCTAGCTTGATGCTAAAACTTTGATCAGTTGGCCCTTCTTTCTCAGAATGACAATGGTATACTTTCGGTCCAAGACACCTTATTTGATCACCAGTTTGATCACAGAAACCTATTGCTTTGCGACTCAGCAGTCTAGGACCACATTGGAAATGCTCAAATCGGCTCGCGACTGAATTGAGAACTCTGAACTACGGTCAATTGGCCGTAAGGCCCAAATCACAATCATGTCCTCAGCTACGGCCAATCGCCACTATGACTCAACTCTACAAGCCGTTCAGAGGAAGTCTTTGCCGATTCAAGAGAGCAACTCTGGAAGGTCGACTGAGCTCCCTCAAAACGATTCGCTCACGCGAAAGAATCTTTTCAGCCGCCTTCGCAGCCGAGGAGGCCGTGTACAGCGACCACGAGCGGCGGATCCTTCAAGAAGAGGACGAGGCGCGACGCAAAGAAGCGCGACACGAGCTGCAGCAGCTGTCCGAACTTGCCGGGGTGAGCCTCGTCTGTTTTTTATGAACGTCTGAGTCCTGAATAGCGTCTCGTTTTGATGAGTTTTGTTCCTCACTTGTAACGCTCCTTCTGGAAGAAGACTTGGGAAAGCTGCTTTTTGATAAAGTAAGGATTGAGTCTTCCAATTTACCAGTTCTGTGGTGGTCTGATCAGACAGTTTTGAACGAAGACTGGAAGCCCCTCTCTATGCAGTTAGAATGTGGTGCGCTCACAGTCTCAGATCTTCGGAAGTTGGATGCTCACTCCCAGGGCCATGCCGAGAAGGCGTCCCGCGTTTCTTCAATTCATCTGGGCCTCGAGCTTAGACTTCATTCAACTTTGCGCTTTGAGGTAGAATCAACGTATGACAATATAGGGTCGTGAAGGAGAAGCAACGAATCTTTTGCATTCGTTTGGAGGCTGGCCCCAGCAAAAGACTCCTTTTGCGGTTCCCTTCTCTCAAACTCTTCGTAGCATTCTCACAACGGACCCTCGCAAATCAACGTGGCGCCGATCTGCATGTTTTCAACCAGTTGCCTAACCGGTCGTCTAACTGCGCGGTGTGACTCTCCCGACCAGGTTCCGTGTAACTAGACCATCATTGAGGGGGATCCCCCAGACGCGATCCAGGAGTACGTGGCGATGCACCCGGTGGACATGCTGGTGGTCGGGAACCGGGGCCTCAGCGCCGTGGCGCGGTAAAGCCTCCTCGATCCACTTTCGAACTCAGGTTTGTTTACTCCCAGCTGTGTAACTGGGTTTTTGCTGCGGTGCTTGTCTTACCGTGGATCAATCCAGTCTTTGCTTATCCGCAGCTTTGAAGTTAGAGATCTTCTCGAGAACACTTTTCCTGGCCAGGGTTCAAGCAGATTGGAGCTCCTGTCAAGAATCAAAGCATCTTGCCGAAGGCAAGCCGTCGAATCCGCAAGATGTTGCAAAAACATGATCGTGCTCGATAGAACTGAAATCCCATTCAAATCCGAGATACATTTTAGGTCTCTTCGACCTTCAAGTTCCTCCGCACGCTGGTAGTTGAAAGGAGCAGCTTTGCAGGGCGGATCAAGCTTGGCTGCAGACTATCCAAACGTGATTCTGGGCCCAATTGACAAAGGCGACATCTTATCGAAATTGCTATTTGAACAATAGTCGGTGGATATTGAACGAATCGATTATCTCGTCACCTGTCAGCAGGCAGTCGACGTCCCTTGACTCTACCCCAAACTACTAATAATAGACTGTATGATGGGAGTAGGAAGATTCCTTCCTGTGTTGCAGTCTCTTCCTCGGCAGCGTCGGCAGCCACTTGGTGGCAAACAGTCCGGTGCCGGTGACCGTGGTGCCCCAGGCGGGAACGGCGCCCATGTACGCATGAACGGAAACGGAACGTGGAGCAAACGGGGCCGCGCGGCTTCAAGTGCGTCCTTCTCGAAGACCACTAGATTTTACCAGCCCTCTGAGGCTGCTGATTGGAAGGTTTGTGAACACCAGTCAAGGGAGTTAGGTTTGTAGATGAATGTCAGAGGTTGGGTGCCGCGGAAGAGACCAGATGGGCGCACCGTTATGGACTCAATTGAAAAGTGGCTGAAAGGTCCCGCGCTTGAGGATTCGGGAACCAGCGCTTGCGATGCGACGACTTGGGTCCTGACTGTGACCGCGGAAGAGCCGATTGACATTGCCGAAAAACCTTCCGAGCTGCGTCTTGTAGAGATGTGTACTCGATTCTCAAAGTCAGTAGTGAAAGGTACGTGTAATGCCAACCGCTGAAAGTAAGTATGTAACCCCCTGACTGTTGCAGTGAACACCATGCACCGGGTCCTACTTGCTCATGGGCGGTGAACATTGCTCCCACGTGCAATTGGTTTCTTGGATCTGCCAAAACGTGCAGATTTGCTATAGATTTCCAGACTGCCAGCATGCATGCAGTAAGATTGCGCATTTCGCCGTCCTTACTGGAGCGCTATATTTGCACGACTTCTAAGTAATCTCGGATCAGCATTCATTATCTAGTGCGTGTCTTCATGAAGCTTGCAAGCTTGCATACCATGAACAGTCGCTGGGGTCTTTGAGCCCACGCCCTATGGGATATTACTGATGTGCACCTCCAAAGCACACACAATGACAAGACGGTGCAGAGAGGAACACACTGGCTGCAAGGGCCCTCGCTGTCGAAAATTCTCACAATTCTTCAAACCTTTTCCGAAGCTGACAACTGTATCTCTGAAGTCATCTGCTGCAAGGGTTTTTGTCACTGAAAGCCCACTTGCTGGCGCTGACTTGCAGATTTCTTAAATGAGTGGCGAAGTTACTGCAGCTTATATTTTTGCTTGGCAGATCCCTATGCTATTGCGGGAGGCAATTGTACTAGCCCATTCGGCTCCATAGTGGAGGACCTTCTCCAGCTGTGAGTTCCGCTCTAGATATATTGCAAACGGCTGCTCAAATTTAAAGTGCTCATGCAAACTTTCAAGCCCTGGACCTGCGACCGAGGGATCCCCTGGGGCAGGCTTTGTGCCCTTTCAAAGAGGAGCATTGCGAGCCGTCGATCGATTTTGAAACATGGAATTCGGAAGCAGCAGCCGTCCGATAAGAGCCTTGAAAGTAAGCTGGATAATCGACGGTGCAAAGTCATCAGCAGTGACCGTCACCATTCATCGCCGAGCCTTTCAAGCAGCAGCTAGGAAGCGGGCAAGTGAAGGAAATCTTGTGTTCGATCAACTTCAAACCAGCGCTCAACTGAAACGGGCAGGCGCAATCTGTCAGCCCTCTGTCAGTGTTACGAACTTGAAGCTCTGAGCAAGGAGGTTCCGAATCCCAGCGGTCAGCCACAGATCCATGATGCCAGGACCGTGCGAGCTGCATAAATCTTTGTGCAGGCGCTTTGCAGGCAATTGTGTCAGCCGGGCTCTTCGTGGATGAAGCCTTGGGTAGAGACGTGAATCTCTTTCAATGAACGAAAGTATCATGCTGGTATCATTTCTGGTGTACTTGCTATCCCAAAGGCCAGTTGCAAGCTTGTTCACAGAGAAGCGAGACATATCCTAGCTCATGTCCAATTCGTCGTGTACACAGCACGGTGACAGTGATGGCTTTCTTCTTCAGACTTTTGCCAGGCTGCAGAGCAGCCTTGAGGACACCCCAAAGAAGCCCTTCACTTGTCCGACATCTCTCGCTCTTTGATAGGAAACTCTGGAGTGGGGGCCGTCAAAAGCAAACAAGCGACGACGCCAGAGAAGCAAACAAGCCTGGGCAAAGGGGGGCCAATGTAAAGCACACGGTGAGGCGCTTGGCGTCGTGAATTAGCGCTTTGAAGTCTTCAGTCAGGAGTATGAACCTTCGTGGGTGACCTTACGGGGTGGGCAAATGCTGATCCTTTTTCTCGGGAGGAGTTGAGCCATAAATACTCCTGGATGACCGATAGCGAACTCAAGTTGATCCAGAATACTTCCCGCTCCCAGCTCGGGAGGCAAGGTCTGTTTTAGGGGGGTCCGCGGATTCTTGCACTTCTCTGAACACAGCATGACGAGCCAGTTATCTTACAGCGATCGGTCCTTCTATTGCCCCACTAGGAAGCCAGAGATGGTTCTGATTCTATAACAAGCTTCTGAACCAAACAACCCAGACACTGTCTTGGCAGGCGATGTGCGGTTTATCGGAAGAATTACGTTCACTAAGTAGATGAACCAAGCAGATCTTTTGGTTGTGCAGGGTGAAAAGGGCTCCTCAAGAGCTCTGGCAAGAGTGGCAACGCCAGTATCAGCTGCAAACAAAGAGCTGTCCTTGGAGTCTGGTGTGCGTCCGTTGAATGAGGTGCATCCTGGAGCAGTGTTGTCAGAGGTGAGCCAAGCTACTGAGAATGCTAACCTTGCTCCCTGCACTAAGCGGAACTCAAGAAGGCACCGGAAGGCTTATACTGTGTTGCTCAGAAGCTAGAGGCATACCATTTGCAGATGAAGTCTTCTGTTTCGGACGTAGTTTTTGTTTGCAATGCAGTATGCCATGTCCTTGGCCCGTTGCCGAGTAGCTGTGGCTAACTACATACCGTTTGCGCGCTCGTTTCTCCTGGAGAGCAAGCAATCCGAGTGTAGAGAGCCAGCGTCATAATTTGGCCTCTTATACATAGACTGTGGTCGAAGTCACCAGTTTCCTTACTTTGGTTTCGGAACCGTTGGGATCCAAAACAGTCAACTGCAATGGCTTGCAGGTTGTGGTGACATCCACTGAACACGAGAAGCTGTGTGCCATGTGCCTGAAGTTGCGCAGCCGGCGCGACTTCAAGAAGCTGCGCTCGTCCCCAGACGGCGTGCACTACCTCTGCCGGGGATGCCTCTCGCAGGTCTCCCGAGCGCGGAGGCGCCTTGCGGCGGTTGTTCCCAAGGGGCAAGCATACTGTCCCTGTTGCGGTGAGACAAAAGACAAGACCCTCTTTGAAAAGGAACCCCGAAACCAACGGGGGCTGCAGAGATTGTGTCAGGCCTGCATGGCGGAGGATTATTGCAAGCGGCCGCACGTGCAAGGGCGGGCAAAGAAAGAGCGACCGATCTTTGCGGCCGAAGGCGCAACAGTGATAGTGACAAGGCGAGCGGATGGCACGTGGGTACCGTCGGAGAAGGTTTGTCACGCATGCGAACAACTGAAGGCGGCCGAGGATTACTGGTATAAAGCGGGAAGCATTGACGGGCTGAGACAATATTGCAAGAAGTGCTTTCATGAAAAAAACCTCCAAAGTCGGTCTGTGAAACGGAGCTTACGGGCTTTGCAAAATAGCAGGAACTTGAGCCGAGCCGAAGCAGACGGAAGCTGCAGAAATCTACGTCGAAGCGAGGGGGCTTCAGTGGACTGCCACGCCTTGCAAAGCACTATTGCAACGGGCGTGATCTCCCGTGCAGGCGAGTCACGAGACTTGGCAAGTTGAGTAGAAGGCGGTTCCCCAATTGAAGCCAACTAGATAGTTTGCGGGGCACCTTGCATCTGAGCGGATGTCGCCTAAGGACATCAGGCTGCTGAAAGCCCTTATCCCGAGGTCAGGGTTGCGTAGTTCGCGGGCCCTTGGACAGTCAGCAAGCATATAACCTCTCTGGAAGTCATTCTAGCGCGGTCGCTCTCGTCTTGGGGAAGAAGTCATACCGACCAGCTCCGAGTATAGTACGCCATCAGCGCTCCTTGAATGTTCTCCACCTGTCAACCGTAGTCAAAGTTGGAAACCTGAAATGGCTGACATGCTCAACCTCCCGAGGGCGCTGAGCAGCGGAGAAGCAGAGCAGGGCGAAGACGTTGGCTGTTGCAGAGCCTCGTCCGTTTTTGTAGCCCCAACACCGAGACAACCTCAAACTCCCCTCAAGGCATGCTCGGTTCCCTCGGAGGGCCGCAAAACGGAAGAGACGGAACGAGGGAAGCAGAACACGACGGTAACCGAGACCATCAAGGGGCGGCGGCTGGGCACCGGACTGGGACGCGGAGATGCCATCTGAACCAGTGAAGTAAGTTGACAAGCCTCTGCTTCCGGTGTCGACCGAGTATCTTGGAATCCAAATTTGCTACAGAGTTGAGCAAACACGTAGGTACTTGGGGTCTAGTGCACCGAGTGGATTCTCTGCTGTCGCATTCGTAGCCGGTCGGCCAATCTGCTTCTCGAAGATTTCACTCATAGTGGACTGTATGCCGGCGCCGTCCTTGTGGATTCCGGATGCACTGATTTCCGGCGAAAGGCAATACGCTATGGCATGCTCTAGGTGGCGAGAGTTGTCGCTCCGAGTGGTTGCCATGTATTCGAGCAGGCCTGTTTCCCCGATTGCTTACCCGAGGCCCACATTGCGCTTGCCTAATCCGTTTTCCGTCCACTCTTGCTGTCTGGGTCCGCACGAGATTGTAGGAAGTCTGCTCTTTTTCTCCATCTCGCGAGTTATTCAGTTAACTTCTTCTAGGACAGTGATTGGATCGAACGGACAGCTATTGGGCAACGCGACTTGCAGAAGATGCGTGCTCACTTTTTGAGGCAAAGCCAGATTTGTACGCCGTTTATCTGGAGGCAGGTGATCGACAATCCGCAACTCGTGAGGCCGTACTCCAACAAGCTTGCTTGATCCTCCAAGTCGGAGTCGTTAAGCCCATTCCTTTATACGCGCGTGCAGGGTTTCAGCAGTAATTACGACACAAACGGCAAGTAGATTGGAAAGGGGGGGATTGCTGGGATGTTGTAAGAAAAAGCAACATATTTATCATAAGCGGTTGGCATACTCATCTGCGATGGAAGCCGGCCAGAAAGCTTGGCCAGTCAGAGATAGTAGAATTGGTGTTCTAGTGCAACTTCAGGGAACTCAAATGGTGTGATTCTCTTGAGGTGCAACGTTCCTAAGCGAGCTAGGGAAGCGTTTGTTTTGAGAGGTGCTTCAATCACACGGCATGGTCTTCGGTTCGAACTAATTGTGGCATTGCGGCAGAGGCTCGCACCCACATGCCGTGTCAAATCATGATAATCAGACTTGAGGACCTTAGCATATGCGAGTCGGAACGACCGCAGTAGACCTTATCATTGTGGATAATGTAGGCCATCCGGTTGGAACGCGTTGTAAATGAAAGATTAATCTGCAAAGTGACATGCAAAACTGGTGAGCTCTCGGATGGCTCTTTCATGCCCACCATCGACTACCAAATTTGCTTCCACTCTGGACTTGGCCGACGCGGCAGTCATTGCCGCAGGAGCTTCTGCCCATGAATCGGCCGACTTCCTAGCGCCCGAGTCATTCGGTGAGAAATGCTTATGATAGCATACTTTCAAGCGACTTGAGAAAAGTACATATGTTGCAACGCCTGCATACGTGATCAACAACTTTACTCGGAAGCCATGTCCTGATGGTCGAGCCTCCGCGAGCATGACCATATATCGTATGCCTGCACGTAAGGGGCTCGAGCAGAGCGCTCGCAAACTTGTGGGCTTTTGAAACTCTACAGCTGAGTCATGCGCAAGCTGGCATGTGTTTGTCTCCTCCTTGATGCGCTGATTCGTCACCCCGATGCTCACGAATGCCTAACCTCAATCTGATCCGGATCGTCGACACCTGCACCAGATCTTGGACCGTCTGAATATAAGCGTCAACAGGGGTCCACCGCGCCCCTTTCTGTCCAAGGTAAGTAAGAGGTTCCGGCCAGAGTCCGCCCTTAACCACATCCAATCTTAGCCTCTGTTTGTCTGCCAGCGAGTACGACATACGGCCGGAACGGTAGCTAACCCTGTCTGAGGGGACGACGTGAACCCACTGCATTTTGAGGAGCTTCCGCCACCGCGAAACTTCGCGGATTTTCATGTACAGTCATCGCGATCGTCATGAGATTGCCCCGTTAAAGACCTCTCAGGTTGGCATGCAAGAAAAAAAGATTGGAAGCTTTATTAGAGCGCGTCACTGAGGGCTTTGCATGGCAATTAGGGTCAGGCAGAAAGAGGCATATGCAGGCTCTTTCGAAGACTTCGAGCCGCTGATTTGGTCAAAGAGAGCGCAGCCTCGTCTTCCTGTGTTTGACTAAATGTGAGCTTTGAATCATGAAGCAGGGACAACAGCATGAAAATGCTTACTCCTCCTTGCTCGAGCAGCATTGTTGGAGGCTCCGCTTCTGGATCATCAATGGAGAGGACCGCTGAAAAGCAGAGTTTCTGAGAACGAAAAACGAAATCCCTTCCTGATGCATTTTTGATTCTTAGCGTTTTGAACTCTGGATTTCTGAGGAGAGAAAGGCTTTCAGGATCTCTGTCCTTGCGGAGCGAAGCCAGGTAGGGAGCACGATGGCAGAGGCGACGTTTGGTGGAGCTTCTTCGGCGAGCGCTGCGCGGCCGCGCCGCGAGGGCGCGCATGGAGCGCGCACCGTGCTGTGCGCAATCGATGGCTCGGAGCACTCCCACCGGGCATTCCATTTTGCCCTGCACAAAATCATCTGCGGCCCAGAGGATCGCGTCATCCTGTTCCACGCCCTCAAGCCCTTGAACAGTGAGACTCCAGGCCCCTTAAAACGAGATTGGAGGTCAAAAAGGACATCCCTGACTCTGCAATGTAGGAAACTTTCGATGCGTAACTGGACCAATCGTGACCCGCGGATGACAGCTGTAACGTCAAACCCTCAGAGGAGGCAGGAGAGTTTGTCCTGGCTATCTGCTGTTGCAGGTTCTCCGACGTTTTAAGATTCTAATCGTTGCTTCTGTATTTTGAAAAGAGAAGAGTAGCTGAGAGTCTCCAGTATTGCAAGGTGGTACTGGCAATGAATGCGATTCTTTCGACACCTTCAGTACGAATATCAGTATGGAAAAACGAAGAAAGCCTCTCAAGAAGAAACACGAGACTAAGATTTCCATCTTCGATCCCCTTCGCTCGCACTTCAGAGCTTTCTCTGCCGTCCACAGACCCTAGTCATCCGTCCAGAGTCCTGCTAGAAACATGCTATAAATAGCGATTATAGGGGAAGTCTGATTAGGCATTCTGGAACTTGACGAGCTTTGAAGCTCTGGTTTTCGAGACTGCCCCTGCGCATGACCAACTCAGAAGCTCGGCTGCAGTGTACAAACCTCTATAAGTGCAGCCAAATGAGCCTGTTGCAGTCCTCTTCAAAGCGTTTATCAGGCTCAAAGCCTTGCCCGGCGCTTACGTCATTCAACATCTCTCGAGGCTGACCTGAACCTCGCACTTCCTTTCCCCTTTCTTTAGAAATCGATGACCATATATTTTCATAAGACCTGTGCAGCGTCCCTCTCGAAAGTAATCCATTTTCTCCCTACTCATCTTCTGTCTCAGAGACACGGGTTCTTCTCGTGCAGCCACGAAATGGATTTTCCACACCCGGTTTAAGTCCACTAACCAGCTGTAAACCCAGACTCTTTTAATCTGCTTTGTCCAGTTTTTAACCACCCGGTCATCCTAAACATGACCACCGAGGAGCGGGCCGCGGTCGTCCGACAGTCCGAAGCCGCGGCGCGCGAGAGCCTCAAAGTTTTTCAAGAGCGCGCTGCAAGCACCGGGGTGAGACGCTGCGAGAAAACCATGCTTCCAAAAGTGGTTCGTGAGACAACCGATCAGCACGCGTTCCGTCCGTGGTCTATTTTTCGGGGCCTGAAGCAAGCCTGCTGTGAAGTAAATGGATGGGGTTGAAAGCATGGAACGAAGTCCCCACTGGGACTGCTCGACGGGTGACACGAGAGGGAGGAATATCTTCGGAAGGAGGCTCCAACCTCAGGATCTCCAACCAGTACGTCCTATGATGGACGCACTGCAGATAACAAGCTTTAGATTTCTAGAATCTGGTTTGCAGTCTGGACCGACTGCCAGGGTAACGCAAGTTCCCGGGTTCACGGACTCGTGATATGTTGGCCGCAGGTTCGCACCGAGTTGGTGGTGGTGGTGGGGGATCCCCGGGAGCAGGTCAGCAAGTACGTCAGCGAGCACCCCGTTGACATGGTCGTGCTGGGCGCCCGGGGGGCGGCCGACAGCTCGACACCCCCCCACAAGTAAGGGGCACAATAACAGATTTTTAGAAAGGTCTCCGACATGATGTGTCAGCTTCGACGACCCGCTCATCAGGAACCTTGCAGACTTCGGACGGGTACTTTCCAAAAGCTTAGGGCGACTTGGTTTAAGATGCCTGTCTTCCTTGTTCCCCTTCTACCTCAAAACAGCGTCGGGAAGGAAGCGCTGTTTACAGAAGGTTATACAAAGTCTGGTCCTGTATTTTGCGCCTCGGGGTAGCAATCAAAGTTCTATCCCTCGGCACATTCACGACGGTATTTGGACCAGCAAACTCCATAATCAACTCTGCACGGAACCTAGGTCGAGAGTAGAGGAGCGCGGAGCCCTTGACTCTTGTCCAATTTGACATCTCTCTTGCTTTCTTTGCGCTTGCGGATGATTATTGGCTCGTTCAGACACAAGGCTCTTGCCTACTTTGAGACTACTTCTTTCTGGCCCACCCATTTGTCACCCGTTGAGGGAGGTCGGTTCACGGTAATCTCCTCCCCGGTTGGTCGGTTAACGGTAATCTCCTCCCCGGTTGCGCAGTAACCGCTTCCGACTGGGCAGCGTGAGCTCCCACCTGGTCCAGCACTGCCCGGTACCCACCGTGGTGGTTCCGGAACCACGTGACACCAGAGCCTTGGGAGGCTAGGTCCTCTTTTCGGGGGCCCGGAAGAAAGTGTGCAGGAATTTAGACTTCTGAGGCTTTTAGAGTTTCAGGTGTAAACATGTGGTTCGAATGGAATTGCCGGGGAGACGCCTCTCCCCGAGGGCCAGAAACCTCTGTGGCGCGGAGAGCTGGCCCCTTGAAGAAAAATGGACGAGCTTATCCCCAGGCCGACTAAACAATTGTTCCGGGCCTGCTGAGATAGAAATTTGGCTAGGTGTGAAACGGGTTTAGTCGGCATGACAATATTGACCGGGAATCGAGGCGTCTCCCGGGGGCCCAAGCTGCTCTGCGGCGCAGGCGGCTGGCCCTCTAGAATCCTTAGATAGTCATTCGTTTGCATGCGTTGCCCGTGACTATATCGCGTAGCTTTAGTGCAGGGCGTATGCTTGCGAAAATTCAGAAGTTGGTATAGACTTACGAACAGGATCAACACGAAAAGCTGGAAACAACTTCTTCCGTTGAGAATACGACACGAGGAGACTACATAATGGAACCTTGGCAGATTAATGGGATCTGTGATCTGAAATGTAAGAACACGTCAAATGACGTGAATCCAGATGACATAAGCTCACGAGTACTGATAGTGACACTCGAGGACAGCACACTTGCGCGTTTCATGTTCCTCTTAGGTTGCATACAGTAATGATTGTTCAAAGATAGCCAGTATGTACCCAGTAGCTTCTTAGCAATTAAGCACGAAGCAAGCCTACGCGATATTCAACATTTGAAGCTAGCTAAAATAGCTGCCGCACATACTTTATCATTTCTTTTTAAGTCCATGTAAGAGAGCATCCTTGGCTGCCGCGCTAGCCGCATGGCCCACCGGACGCGGCCGAACAGGTTTAAATCGAATCTCCATGTGTATTGGGTATTATTACATTGATAATCCTGCCCGGTCCGAGCCACCGTTCCTCATTGCCATATGCAGATCTCTACAAATACTTTCTCCACTTGATACGGTGATGGTCACTGGGTTGATCGATCCTTTCGCGGATTTCAAGATCAGGCAATGGGACCAGTGTGACTGCGCCAGACGGTCGCCCGCGAGCCATACATAAGTCAAGCGTCCTTTGCGCGCATGCCGATCGATGGCGACAGCTGCTCGCGTACGTTCAATCCACAACGCGCAATGGGTGCCGAACAAACTGAGCGGGGATCAACAGCTAGCCTCAAGCAGGCCGGGCCAGATTATGCATGAGCCCGGCCCATGCAGCTTGCAATCGGAGAGGACGTATCATGTTAGCTGTCAGCCTGAAGTACCCAGGGGAGGACCCCTAGTAGCGAATGACGTGTGCATCCGACGACTTCAGAACTATCGCAAATGCTGGCATGACCAGAGCGGCTGTTCGAACCGCGGCTCATCAGGAATGATTTAAGCTGGGCCAGCGGAGGCTGCCAAGCCACAATGGTTGGCATTGTTTACATGTATGGTCCGGCGGCTCGAATCATTAAGAGCGAGTAACTCCGAGTTGCCTGCTAGCTCCGGGCCTGCTTGTTTTCCGTGGCGGCCGTGCTAGCTAACATCTAATTTTTGCATCATGTCTAGATCTACCTTGCTACCGTCATCTCAGTACGGGCCCACGGGCCGGCACACCGTAAATCTACTTTACACTTTCGGTCAGTCATCACTCTTAACTAGACTTCCGCGACTACTTTATCCCCTTCGAGATTGTGCAAATGATCTCTTATTGCACGTTAATACAACGGTCTCCGTCTCAGCCCATCCAAACCAGAACCCTCGACTTGAACAATCTATTCGGCCCCCCTAGAAGTACTTTGCAGACTCTTCTGACGTTCCGTCTCTCTTCGCGCCGCATCGGGCATCTTTTGTTCGTCTCCGACAAGCCACCGGAAGGCAGCCCGGACCTCGTCCATCATCACACTCGGGATAACCGGTGCCTCCGGGTGCTTGGGACGCTTGACTCGTCTCGACGGGTGAACCGAGTGTTTCCTGCACCAGCACGGTTTGCAGTACTGCCTCAAGCCGTCCATCTTCGTCGGATCCGAAAAATACTCCCCCGCACTTTTCAATTCCCCGCACGTCAGACACACTTTTTCGGTCGGCACCCAAAGCCCCTCTTTCCGCCGCAGCGTGATGACCATCGGTCGGCGCTCCTGCGCCCACACCGGCCATTTCCTCTCCGACCGCCCCGTCACGTTCGGCCGCGTTTGGTAATCTTCAGCGACGCACGCTCGGCAGATCTTCTGCAGGCCGGAGCGTTGCCGCGATTCCAGCCCAAAGAGGGCCCTGTCTTTGACCTCGCCGCAGCAAGGGCAGTGGGCCTGGCCTGCGACGACGCCCGCCGCAAGGCCTCGCCGCGCGCGGGAGAGCTGTGCAGCGCACCCGCGGCACCAGTAATGGACACCGTCGGGACTCGAGCGCTGGGGCTGAAACTCGCGCAGGCGGCGCACTTTCAGGCACATGCCGCACCGCTTCTCGTGCTCGGTGGAGCTGACCGTGATCTGTACAGGGAAAACTAGGGGGTCACCAAAATGAACGATCTGGTACGGACAGGAAAAGTAGCAAAACGGGATTTGCAGGATGGGAACAGGGGGCGTGAGTAAAGGTAGGAACCTTGATATGATCAACAAGAGACTTCGCCAGATAACACCTGATTTAAATGTTGAAGGCCCTGCCCGGATGCCAGGAGCGTAAAGCTGGTTAAACGAGGGGTTTACTTTGCGGGAACTGCGCCCGTTTCTGATGCGCAAGAATCTGAAGGCCAAGCTAGGATAGCTGACTTTGACAGAGTTGGCGGCGGAAGCAGGTTATGCCTCCACACACCTCAGAACCTAGCAAGCGTCGCAATAGGCACACACTATGCTGGCCCAGAACGCAACACAGTCAAAGAAGATCAAATGAAAGATCCATGAGAAGATGAAGAATGTCAACCTCACATTCCTTTTTTCAGGTTTCTCATTGCGGTGCACAAGTCACAAGTTTCCATCCACAAGCCGAAGACATATACCACCAGCAAAGCCAGGCAAAAAGAATCATGCGAGTACTCTCAAGGACATCAACAAAATTCACTAGGTAATCTGAGTGGATGTAACATATATGTTGGGTGGTTTCTAGACGCGTACAGCATGCATAGCTGTCACGAGCTGGGCCTCCGCTCGTTCTAGGCACCAAGCGACCAACACCTCACCATCAGCAGGTGAAGCGTCAGTTTGAAGCGCCGAAAACAAATCCCACATTTGCAACCAAACATCAAATTGGTTTGGGACCAGAGGCCAGAACCGCAAATGGGAAGTAGTCCTTGACTAGTTTGCAGCAAGCGAACATTGCAGAAAGGCATTTAACTCAACCCTAAAATTGTCCACCAAACACCTCCAGCGCTTTTGCAACCTAAGCTCGGGGTCTTGGTTTCTTAGCAGGTCATTCAACCCTCTCGCAGGGGCGCTTGGAAAATCCCAGAGAATCTCAGAATGCAGAAGTAAGAGCAAACAGGAATCCCTTTCAGGAGGTTAAAGTGTGGAGAAAGAACCCCGTACTCTTGTTTCCACGATTCCTTGAAAGGCCGGAAAAACTAACTACTCGGATCCAGAGAACCATCAGCTCAACAGTCCTGTCATCTGTATCAACCCAATGTAGGAAATGCAAGCAGGATTCATAGGATCCATAACTTTGATGAGCTCAACGACAAACCAGTGGCCGAGCCGTCGCTTGTATATGCAGGAAACAATCCGCACACAAATACTGGCTGTGCACAGGCCTGCAGCCAAAGTGCCACAACTCAAATGCTAGAATGAGAGTTGCTCGAGACTGTCTGTTCCCTTAGCACACGGAACAGCGCCTCACCGTGTCATTGTCATCATGTTCCCGCTGGACCATGTCGACTGCTCTGCTGCTATAGCCCCTGCCATCATGACTGCACCAGCTATGGTGTCGCTTGTGATCCCACTGCTTCCGGACAGGTAACGACTGCTGAAAGCCAAACACACTCTGCTGTAGTGGTAGCTTCAGAGGTGCCCCTGGAAGTTTGGCTGAGGGGCGGGCAGGGGACCAACTGCTGCTGAGTGGTGTTTCTGAGGTCGGAAGAGGACCGATGGGTGAGTGGTGCAGGTGGGGACTGCTTTCGGCAATGGCGCCACTTGGCCAAAAGGGACTAGGCGTGTCGGCATTGCAATCGGAGTCCCGCCCCAACAAACGGGGCCTTACATCAGCTTCAGAGTCCACGCACTCGTGAGGATTGGGAGGAGCCAACCAATCACCGCAGCTTGATCCAGCAGCTGCGGCATTTGTTTCTACATGGTTATGCAGCCCCTGTATGACAGTGCGGTAACCATGGCCACAACCGGTAACGGTTGCTCCCAGCGGGGTTTCACTGCAGGTCTCCTTGCCCAAGTTTCTGAGCTGGTGAAAGAGCGTGCTTGCCCGCCTCATTTGGGTTTGCTCTGCTTTGACCTGGGCACGTCCTCCTGTCTCAAAAGGAAGCAGGATCTGCGGCTCCTGACGAGAAAACCTGAGGCATGCCTGATTGAAATGCTCCTTCAGGCGGGGCGCTCGAAGAGTCGTCCTCAGACCTGCCAGGAGAGATACTCTAGTCTTAGATCAGATACCTACTCTGTTTGATCTCAAAACTTGCGCAAATGCAAGTGAGGAATGCAGGCTAAAGGGAAAGGAACTTAGAAATCGACTTTGAAATGGAGGAAATTGAACCGTCCATCACCGAACGGTGGCCATCCATGGTCATATAACATGCCCTCAAACTTCAGGCTCGCAACCTGGGGGCTAGGCGTTGCTGGATCAGCGTCACCAATGCAACTTCAACCGTTGATTGCTTGAACGAACGGCGTACGAGAACGGTAATCAGAGGCTTTATCCCCACTGTATTTTTCAGCCGCATCGACGGAAGAGTGGGGTCCACACGATAACCTGGTGAAGAATATCGACGGTCGATGTCACCTCGACCAATGGGATCCCTCTGGCTGCTAACTACTTCGACTGTGTGAGCTGCTGCAGCCAGACGACGTCACCGGGGCGTCACCGACAACATAAAAGCAAGTGCGTCCCTGCAACATCACAACAAACGCTTGTCTTCAATTGTTCACCAGACAGCAACGAAAGTGATTGTGGGAGTCCAAGCTGGCTTCTGCGCACTGGCACCTACTAGTACGGCTCATACGGCCAATTGGCGGCAACCTGACAACGTCCTCAATCTGGCAACAATCTCTGACCGATTGACCCCAGCATACTGCATTAGAAGCAGTTGGGAGATTGTCCAGCGCAAACATCCGTGACTGAACTTCTGAGATTCTTACTGCAGCTGCTCCGCTGCACGGTGTTCGCGGTATTGCTCGGGCGGCCTGCTATCTTCCTTGAGGTGAGATTCCAGACTCAAGTCTTGTTGGTCTTCTAAATCTCTCATTTCCCCCAACAGTGTCTAGAGTAGTGATTAATTATGCAGGGAAACCATAATTTGAAGGTTCAGAATGTCAATGTGTCAGTCTATCGACGCTCCAGGCGCCGCTGCCTTCTTTCCATAAGCATTGCGTACAGCTTTGTTCAAATAATAGTCGTTTCTGCGTGTAGTCATCCTTCCTCACCAACGGGTAGGTTCACCATGTCAGGGAAAGACTACAGTGGAAGACTAGCTACTCCAAGACGTTGTAAGATAGTCTTGACAAGAATCATTAACAGAACTTGACGCAAATTTTGGAAACCTTCTGAGGACTGGGTGGCAGGAAGGCACCTACTCCTTCTTCATCAATAAACCATTGAGATATTCATGCAGACAGCCTTCGATGCTGATTAAAGCCAGCTATGTACATTCTGGTGCTTCTGCCTTCAAGTCTACCCATCGGTGGATGTCACACTTTTTGTTTTGCATAAAATCTGCCGCCTAACACGTGTCTTTCTGCTTTCCAGGAGTTTCACACCGACCTCTGAGGCTTTGCGTTTGCAGGACATCGCTAATCAGAGCTTGCAGGACGTTGCTTTGTATAACTGAGACTTCCAAAAGGACAATTAATTAGAGGACGTGAGGAGCTTCAGCATAGATAAAAAAGTAAGCCGGTCTCTCCTTGCTCTCAATCAACCTTTTACTTGCTCAACCTTGAACTAGTTCCATACTATAGGGTCAATCTTCAAAATAATGTTCAAGGAGAAAGTGCCTCCAGTAAATGGCATCAATATCACAAAGACAGCAGTTTGAAAGACTTTTGAGGTCTGCTCTCTCCAACCTAGCGCGCAACTGCCACCAGTGTTGATCATCCGCATTGTGGAACATGGACTTTAGAAACGAACTTCATAGTGAGCAATCGATGCGTCGATCAGTCATTTTCTCAAACGTGCTCACTTTTCAAAGACTCTAAACATCTCCGCTTGTTATCCTGTAGATGATCAACATGGAGCCCTCCCTGGTGCGCGAGATCGCGTCCCTCCACCGTAACGCCCACACCCGGAGCCTGGCCCAGAGTTACGGCCTGGCCATCCAGACCGTCTCCTGGGAGGACACCGCGCGCACCAAGCACAGCTGCTGGGGGCCCAACATCGCTGACGTCACCCTCCACGCGGCCGGCCACTCCCTGCCCATGCTCCGCAAGCCCAACTTTGCTGACGTCACCGCTGACGTGTCCATCGGCGCATTCAGCGTGACCGCCGGCAACGAGACTCCCTCCAGCGACCTGAGGCGCGTCGGCTTCCGGGACTACGTCGCCAACACCCTGGGCCTGCCCGGCCTGGTCCTGGACCGCGATGACGTCCTGCTGACGTCAGCGCAGGCGTGCGTGCTCCCGTGCGGGCCCGCGGGCGAGACCGAGTTTTGCCCGCAGATCTACAGCTACCAGTCGCGCCCGGCCGACCCCGCCGTCCTAGTTGTCGTGGCCAGCTCCCAGGGGACGTCAGCCCACGTCATCACGGGGCGCAGCGAGAAGCTGCTCTTCAATCGCGGCGGCCGCGGCGCAATGTTCCTCGCGAAGCGCCTCTCGCAAGACCGCCGCGAGCGCGGCGCGCCGGAGACGGGCCCGATGACGGACGACGAGGCGGACCGCAACGCGCTGCTCCTGTTCCAGATCCCGCTCAAGCAGCGTCCGGTTCCGGCTGAGTCCGGTCGTTCCGGGCCCGTTTCCGTTCCAGCCGCCGCCGCCGTGGTGCTGCCCCGGATTCGGCACAGTGTATACTCCGCACTACTACAACCCGCAATATCAGTATCCTCTGTACTACGCCCCGCTCCCGACTTTTGTCCCTCTTATGCGCTTTGGTCAGTTCCCCGCACCGGGTAGCTGCGCCTCCGGTAGCTCTGCCCCGGGTGCGCTTTTCGGCGCAGCGCCCGCTATTCCCGGCGCCCCGCCTACCTCCCCCGAGGCCTGCGCCCCCGCGGCCGCGGGCCGCGGCGCGCCTCGGACGGCGGGCCTCGAGTACGCGACGCTGCGGGCGTCCGAAAGAACCCTGGCCGCCTTCAAGGGTTTGGCAGGGTTTAAGCTGGAGCGCGATGAGTGGTTCCCGATCCGCGTGACGTTCCAGATGTACACCGTGACGGACGACCCGGCTCTGACGGAGGCCCAGGTGCGCGAGCTCGCGGAGCGCACCGGGAAGGTGTACGCGCGCGGCAAGGAGAGCGGCAGCCTGGTGATAACCGCGACGGCGCGCGCGACGGAGCCGCGGCCGCTCTCGAACGTGGCGGGCGCTGAAGACATGCCGATCTTTCGGTTTGGGGTGTAGGTGTTTCTGCGGGCTGGCTTGAGGAAGGGGAACTTCGTCGACACGAGCTTGCAGCGGGGTCTAGGGACGTCAACGTGGAAACACTGTCAGAGACCTTCTCGGTGCTCGATAGGAAGAGCTGCATGGGCTCACTAGGTCATGCGCATATAGAGAGTGTATTCGAGAAGGCGTAGGGAGTGCAGACAGAGCGTAGAGATACAGATGTTGACTAGGCAAGGACTTGAACTTAAAGTGCAATTAAGCTAGAAGTCTTAGCATCTGATGCGCCTTACAAATACTGGTAGCGTCTTCGCGTACGAGGTTCGACGTCAATGACAACGTAGATAGATAATGATGGCACGCGGTCCGTTCAATCACGATTGCATATGCACGCGTATCAACACGATTGTCACCCTGTTCATTCGTATGGGATCCTCAATCTAACAGTGCTGATTTCCGTTTTGTACGTCTCCTGACTTTCTTCATTTCCTGGCAACTTAGGCTCGAAACGCCATGGAAGCGTTAAAGCTTTCTCCAGTGCGACTTGGCGGCCGCCATGCTCAACTGTGTCACGCGGTTCGCCCACAACTGCAATCTGCCAGTAAAGCCCGTCCGCATTAAGATCATGCCATTGCGCTTCTGAGTACATTTAATGATGGCTTCTGTTTGTTATCGCCATATCAAGCAGTGACTGAACTTGCGCGGTGTTATATTGCGTCCCTTCAAGGCTTGCATGAGCCCACGAAAGCGCCTTGTGCCACGGCATGCATGCTGACATATTCGCTTGAGCTAGATGTCGATGGAATGCATGTGCAGTCGGGTTCAGTATTGAGCCTGGACGTTGTCGGACTACCACCCACGGAAAGCATAGAAGATCGATTGCATGAAAAGGGTGAGAGCGTGTGCGGCGGTCTAGCTTTAGTTATATGCAACCTGTCATTTAGTGTTCATTCGTCCATGCTCATACGTTGACGTCCCACATCGATTCTCGACTGCAGGTGCGTGCCATTTGCAAAACATTCCAAACAGATAACATGGAGGCGAACTCGTCGGAGGATCGGATGCCAGGTCACTTAGAATAGAAGCAGACCATGACATCGTCGGAAACATCCTGTATCAACCGCATAGCTCAGAAATTCCAAATCATCGATTCAGCTAAAAGGTTATATGAATTCTATATCTTACTTTTCACCTGTGTTTGTATTGAGGGGTACGGACGAGAACTCTCCACTACCGCTTTGGAGCCCACTAGCCCTTGGGCTCGGCAGTGCAAGCCCATCGGCATCCAAGAGACTCGATCTCCGCCGATCTGAACCCGTCGACACTGCGGACTGCTTTGGGGACAGCGCATTCGCATAAAACACCCCCGGCAAAGCACCCCCGGTCGGGCTAGACACTTGACTCGAGTACGTATTCGGATTGTAAACGCCTGGAAGGTTAGCAACGGACGCGGAGGACTGGGGCGACAATGATGATCGCGATCGAGGCAACGTAAACTGCTCCTCTGACATTGCCGCCAGGGCATTCCTCTCCTCGGCCGCTCTTTCATCGATCCGCCGTTGCTCCTCTTGTTGCTGGGCCTCTTTGAGAAGGAAGTCGATCCACAAGTCGGTGAATGTGGCGGACGACTGCACCAAAGGAAATGAGCAGATCTCAATAAGGGTTCCAATAAACACAGACGCCTCGCAACCCAATGTTACAAATACGATGTTACCTAGAGGTTTCAGAGCAGGATGTGTCCGGATTGCTTTTTCCTCGACCGCTCAAGCTTGACACTTGGTCCCGTCAGAAGCAAAGAGCTCAACCCGAACCAAGCGAGAACAGGTCCACAAAGCATGAGATGAAGAGTTCGGACTCAATCAGCGTCACTCCTTAGAAGACCGACACACGTGTGTCACGGAGTCGCGCATCTTTTTCTACACTCGAGTATGATGCTGAAGTCCTTCGGCATCAGAAGGACTTCGGCATCAGAACGATTGAAAGGATGTAGCGCTCAAATATGAGTGTCAAAAAAAGAAAGTTTTTTTTGAATCCGACCCGTTTGAAGCAACCAAAAGACGAAACGTGCCGTACCGGATCCCGGTCGCTGACGGAGGCCCGTGGCGACGACGGCGCGCTGGCGCCCCCAAACACGGCGCCGACAATGCGGCCCGGTGCGCCCAACACCCCGGAGACCACTCCCCGGCGCCCGAGTTGGGCCAACCCGACCCGCTTCTTGTCCTCTTCGGTGAAGCCCAGAATGCGGGCCATGAGGTCAAGAGCCTGTGAAAAGAGAACACGAGCTGAGCTGAAGACGGTGATGTTGTGCGCGACTAAGTAATGTTTTGGTCTGAAACGTTGTGGCTTCGAACCTAGACCAATTTAGCACTACGAATCCCACAATTGTATCACGATTAATTGCAAGATTTGACCATATCCGCAGTAGCTAGCAGCGACGGATAGGCTCCGACATGAGACTTCGAGTCTGACAATGTTCGGAGTTTTAGAGGTTGGACCAAAGAAAACGGCCAGCGTCAATCCAAGGAAGTCTGTTAGGTCAAAAGAAGACCTTCGTGAAGCGTTTGAAGTGCTGGGCAAAGCTGATATTAGCGTCTCCTCGAGAATGAGTGACGCGAACTTGCAGACGGACAAACCAGTAAAGCTACCGAGAGGGAGGAAGCATGCATCCTCAACAACTCGGAAGCGCGAAGACACGGGGAAACCTACCTCGGCACTATGCCGCTTCTCGAAGTACGTGACGAGGAGCTTGATAACGATCCTCCTGCAGGTGCAGAAGAACAAGAGTGAGAAACCTGGACTAGACCGCAAGCTGCCAAGCAGAAGCGGAAGCAAGAAGGCGCCTTAAAGAAGGTATAACAGAGTCAAGGTCTGCCTTACGGGACGGCTCCATCTCTGAGACAAGTACACCCATATACAGTCTTCTGTACATGGTGTTCTGTTTTCTTCGAGAATGGCCCGTGGCATGCCGACAACTGGCCAGATACGGAACCCGTTGCCGATTCGGTGCGAGATACACAAAAGAGCGCACGTACTAAGGAACGAAAATCCTTTAAATGGCACTAGAGCCTCTTTTGAGCACTGGTCCAAGTCGCTCGCCACGACTCAAGTTCCAAATGTTTCTTCGTTCTCGAGAAGAGTAAATCCAGTAACCAGTTCTTGGGCCGAAAGACAACCGCGACACACACTCACGCGCTCCCACACACAGCAACCCCCTTCCTTTTACCAACCCAACCCGTCCGAATTACCGGACCAATGAATTCCAGAGTGCCTTTCCCGTCAGACGCAAACGTCACCTGTCGATGTACTGGTCTGAGTCGGAGGACGACGTCCTGTGTGAAGCTTCACGAGAAAGCACGTACTACCGTCCCCAGATACACCGCAAAAGCTCGCTCCCTTAAAGCATTGGCCCAGATCGGTCGCAACAACTCTAATCCGGATCAATTCCGCCTCCGACGCGGCACTCACCTGTCGACGTACTGGTCCGAGTCGGACGACATCCTGTGTGAAATTTTCTAAAGAAAGCACGCACTGCAATCCTCATGTTCTTAGCAAAAGCTCGCTTCCTTTCGAAAGTGGTTCAAATCGGTCGCAACGACTCAAGTCTCCGGAATACTATCCGCCTCCGACGAGACCGTTCACCTGTCGACGTACGGTCAAAAGTCGGACGACGACATCCTGTGTAAAATTTGCCAGAGAAGGCACGTGTGAAACTCAATCTACTGTAACAGCTCGCTTCGTCTGAAATAACGGTCCAAGTCGATCGCAACAACTTTCAAGTTTAAAAATACCGTCCGCATCGGACGCGGCCGCTCACCTGTCGACGTACTGGTCCGAGTCGGACGACATCCTGTGTATCCGAGTCATGCTCTGCTCCAGCGCCTTGCGCAGCCGGTCGATCTCGTCCTGCAGCTTCGCCTTGCCGCGCTCCGCGGCGACCACCCGCGCCTCGACAGCCGCCACCTTCTCCGCTGCGCTCTGCTTCTCGGCCTCTTTTGCGGAGATTGCTTTTCTTGAAGCCTGAAAAAGAGGGCGCCCCGCAGGTTTCAACCATGGGCTTGTCGAGTTTCCGAGGTTCCAACACATACAGGACTTGACAGCCGCCACCTTTGCTCTGCTTCTCTGCTACTCTTGCAGACACTGCTTTCTGCATACTCCGACCTGTTTCCCCGCACACGAAGCAGCACAAGAGGAGCCCCAAATGGAAGCAAGCTCACCTCCAGTTCAACCGCAAGCCTGCTGAGCTCCTCCCGCGCCTGGTGGAACTCTCCTTGCAACCGCTCCTGCAAAATGCGAGTGCAATGATGAGCGTGACTCGTTTGGCCTCTGGTTTGACGTGTCGTAGAATCCGTCGGGCTTCGGGTTCTGACGGCTGAAGAAGGGGCCAATATAGGTCGTGAGTTTGAATTCTAACCCAGAACGTAAGACTCAATACCTGGGCGCTCCGGGAATGGAAACCTGGACAAGCAAAAAACCTGAACGAGCTGAGGAGTCTTAAAAGGGAGCATGGGAATCGTTCTAGTAGGCCAACTTTTCAAGACCAAAACCGTTTTTCAAGAGTACGCCTGTGATTTTAGCCACCCGACCATCAAGCGCGGAGCATCTCAACACGAAAGTCCAGTGCCAGAGTGGAAGAGAAGCAATCAGGGGACGGCGTCAAGCGCCCCTGCACAAAGGGATCCGTCTTTGCTTCAGAAACACCATACAAGAGAAAGAACGGCCTTCGTTATGGTTCATCTCCTTGCTTTCATGCTGCTGTTAAAAGTGAGCCCTGAGAGCAGCAATCGAGTACGAAGGAGCCGGAAAAGATTAGAAAAGATGGACGGACCGCCTCACCTTGGCCTCAGTCTCTGCGTAGTACTGCCCGAGCGCGCTGTTTAGATTCACCAGTTCCATGTCCTTGCTCGACAAGCTCGCCTGCAGAAGACCACATGGTGTGCTGACCAGACTGGCTGAACAAGGGACTTATTTGGAACTCACTACAGATGCTTTGCGTCCAACGGGCACTAACACCAAAGAACGGCGCACGAAGCAACTGTAGAACCCGGAACAGGACAAGGACGGAGAGACTTCCTGTGGAGAAACTTCTTACGAAACTGCTGCTGTATTTGAATCTCTGCAAACCTTACATATGTTTCCGAGTCACAGAGACCCGCCAGTGAAATTTTTTGACCGACGTGTGTTAATAGCAACGCTCGAACTCATCCATCGGAACCGAGAACCGAGCTGTGCAAGAGCGATTGTGCATCAGAACTTCGAAGAGCAGCTTTGAGAACCAGACACCGATGCAGCAATCCTCGGGCTGAAAGAGAGGTACGCCTAGCGCCTTCCCAAACCGTGAGGGCAAAATTTCGGCGAACCAGCCGACGTGACATACCGAGACACCGTTGCATCCTGGCAACTTTTGACGCCAAAATTCCAAAAAGCACTTATTCTACATTCGGCAGGCCCGGTCTCTACTGCTAGCACGCACCATCATAGCTTTGCCCAGTACAGGTTCAACTGATAGGCCTAATGACTATCTACTTCTTGTCGAGGTTAAATTGAAAAGACATGTACAGAACTCCAAAGCATCCTCAACGCAAGGAAAAGTCGCCGACTCACGAGGGCCTCATCTAGCTCGCCCCTCAAGCGCTCGACCTCGTCTGCGGTCGCCTGTACGCCCTGCGTGGACGTCGCCCGCTCCTTTTCGAGCTCCGCTCTAGTTGCTGCCAGGCGCTCCTCCAGCGCTTTTCGCTGCGCCTCCAGGCCCACACAACGCGCCTCCAGGTCCGCAATCCGCGTGCTGTCCTCTGACATCTTCTCGGACTCTTCCTCCGCCTGCAAAGGGATGAGGAGACAAGCCGTTTTGTACTGATGAAGCTATTTCCCCTCGAATATGAGGATACAGCCCAAGGCAAAGGTGGGAGAAGGATGCGCTTGCACAACCCCGACTTTACACAGTGCCGCCAAGGGAAAAAAACAGGCTAATTTGGGAGTCGATCCTTTTGAACACCGAGCCCCTCCGCATAAACAAAAGACAAAAGCAGCGCCCTGACATGGAGCAAGGTTGAGTCGACCAAGCCGGCGGCGGAAGCACATATGCTTTCCTACCTTTTCGAGGAGATGCTGCTTCAACCGGGCCAGATCCCGCTTAGCCTTGTCCTTCTCTTCCACTGTCCGGGCCAGCTCTTTCTGGTGCTCCTCGCTTTGCCGGCTTGTCGCCTCCTCGGAGCTCCGCAGACGTTCTTGCAGGATGCCGACCTGCAGGCAAGCAGCACACATGTGACTTGTGTATGGGGGCCACAATAAGCTCATCGACGTCGTCAACAATGCGCCCGGGAGTCTGCGGGGTAAGAATGCGAGTGGGCAGCCATTCGGAAAGTTGCGTCTGCACGAGTCGAGCACTGTCCTGACCCAGAAGTCTTCAAATGCATCACAAAACACCGAGTTCGCAGCAAGCTCAATGATCAGAAAGTCAAGCGAAAGGTGGTGGACAACGTCAGAGTCCTAGCAGGCCGTAACATAGTCTCCGCCCATTCTGGAAGCAACCGGTCATCCGGACTACTTTTGTGGATCACGACAGCGAGCCTTCCTAAATATGGTGGAGCCAGTTTGGTGACGACACTCGCTCTCACTCTGGAAGCAATCTTCCTCCCCGCTTACCTCTTGCTTCATCCTCGTTAGCTCCTCCTCCCTTGCTGCCGCCTCCGTGCTCGGCTCGCCCCCCTCCTCTTGCTGTCTTCGCAACGTCCGTAGTGTCTCTTCCTGCTGCTCGATCGTGCCCCGCAACTCGCTTACCCTCTTCTCGTAGTCGTACCTGATCTCCGCCTTTTCTCTCTCGTGCGCCTGCGCGTCTGCTGATCTTGAGGCAGCCGACTCTCGCTCGACCCGTGAAATGCGCTCGCGCAGGTCCTCCGCCTCTTTCTGTCCCGCTTGTGATGACGTGTCCAACTCCGATCTTAGTGCCTGAGCGACAAGGACGGAACATGAGCTTGGCTCTACGTGTGCTGACGTTTCAAAATCTGCCTATCCTGTCATACAGTCTGCAACAATTCAACAAAGCATGTACAATACTTTCTGTCGTCACTTATTCGTGGGTGTAACATGTGTACTCGAAGATGGACTTGAGATGCATGTCTGCAAGACATCGAGTAGGCCTAAATTTCAGAACAAAGGCTGTCGGTCGACTGTGAGGTCGCCGTCTCGGCAAAGCGTCGAGCATGTGAACCACTTAAAGAAGTCCGTGTTGTACAGGCGTGGTGCAGCGATCTTAATTCGAGCGACTCGATCGAACAATTCCTTCGGACAAAGGTCGCATAAAGCAAACCGTCATTGGCAACGCCGACTCGCCAAAATCTAGCATCGCCGTTGACGATCCTTATCACCCAGTGATCCCAATGTGCAAAAGCACGACAACAAGACGCAAACACAATAACTTCGTCAATCGTAGTTCCCCAATGACAAGACGGCTTAAGTCTTCACCATTGACGTCGAACATCGATGGATCTTTGGCGACCTTCGATCACACAATCACAACGTCATGCGTCATGGCATTAACTGCAGGAAAATACCCCAGAGTCTTACGACCTTTTCGGAAGTAGCAGCGCGTAAGGTAAGCACAGGCAATTTCTGGAATGAAACTACCTTACCCTCTCTGCATCAGTATGGCTGAAACCTGAACCCAGCAATCTCACCGTAAGCTGGCCAGTCAGACTTTCTTTTTGCGCAAGCGCCTCCTGGATCTGCTCCCTCAGCATCGTTGCAGCTGTTTCCGCCTCTTCCTGCGCCGATTGCCGACGTCGCATTTCTGTAAGAAGCTGCACCAGAAGCAACCAGGGAGGACTTGAGCCGTCTTTCGAGAGACTAAGAAAGACTTCCGCACAACTTCACCGACAAAGTGCGCTTGCACTTTCAGAGGGAAGTTCGGCGAAACGCGTGACCCTCGTCTAGAAAGCAAGTGGAACAAGGATACAGGAAGTTGATGACCGGCACCTCTCAAATCTACGCAAATATAGTTCGCATGCCGCGCTCAGATATCCCTAAGGGTGTTAGTAATTTCCTTAGAATCAACAGAATGCCGCTCCTACTCGCACAGTGTGACGACCAACTCATCCATTCCGACCTCAGTGGTTCCTGAGCTGTTTCTTCCAAACAGTTGGACAGAAACGTCGAATCAACGGTCCATTCTTTAAAGCACGATACGAAACATAACGACCACCACTCAGCATACAGAAGTTTCTCGGAAAAATGACGTACCTGATCTCGTTCCGTTTGAAGCTGGCTCGCTCGTTCATTGGCATCAATGGTCTCGTCCTCTTTCTCTGTACACGGAAAAAAAGCAACTTATTGAGGCGTCGAGATATCAGACTTTCTCGGGGTAGATCATTACGCACCAGTTGGTTTGCTTTTGGACGGTGCATCGTTTCGTTTGAGATGCCCTCGAGACTGCAACGTATACGAACGCAAACATTGAGGCCTGAACAGATCGCACACTTGGAAAGATACATTAGGCGAGAAGGCTCACTCTTGAGTTGCTGCTGAGCCTCGTTTTGAGCCGCTTCCTGATTTGCAAGGACAGCCTTCACTTTGGTCAATTCAGCTTCTCTTTGTCCAAGCGAGGCCTGGACCTGCTCATTCGCTTTTCCTTTCTCCGCCAACTGCTTTGTGAGGTCCTGCATCGACGTGAAACGGTCTGAACATGGAGGGGCTTGAGGTTCGATAAGCCCCAAACCGTATACAACAACAGTGCCTGTAATCTTTTATAAAATGATCGTTCCGATTGGTCCTTCGTCAAAGAAGAGTCTGAAGACGGAAGGGGCTTGGGCTCCAGATCATTAACAAAAGGGAAGGGAACCCCTCCCGCGACACTTCTCATTTAAATCAATCACCGAACTTCCGGAGCAAGAACCTAATTTTCACGAAGGACTGAAAAAGGGAGACTTAAACCACAACATGTTTTCCACCATGCGACTCTTTTTCCTACACAGGCTACAGAGTTTGTCTCCGCAACCACCCCCCACACGCATGGAAACTCACCTTCTCCTTCTCTTGCGCCCGCTGTAGGGCCTTCTCTGCATCCTGTGCCCTGAGCAAAGCCTCCTGGACCCTCGCCTGCAAATCCTCTGTAGATACGAAACCATTGGAATCGTGCCCGTTTGCAGAAACCGAGGCTTCTGCCCGCGCTTCCTCCAACTCCTTCTTGTGCTTCAGCAGAAGAGCGCTCGTCTGCTGCCGGTGGTGGTCTTGCAGAGAGGCCAGTTGCTCCTGCAGCAATGATGGGGGTTTTGTTCAAAGGAAACAGAAGGTTGCGCCAGCCTCTAGCATGTGATGTTCGAACAAGGAACCAGCCCAGTTTCGCCAAAGAGGGAGACATGTGCAACATTCAAAGGCTGAAAACTTACGGAACACCCGCAGGCTCAGGGACCCCGTGTCGCAAGCTCTGAGTCACGAATGCACGAACGCCCGAAGAGACGGTAGTATTAAGTCCAGCCCTCCGTGTTGGCCAGTGATGCGAAACTTGCATTGCCGACCAACCGTGCCTCGACACTGGCGAGGTAACAAGTGAACGGGCCACGTGAGTAAGGGTTCAAGCGAGGTTGAGTGCTCCCTTACCTGACTTGCATCAGCAGCTCGCTGCAACTCCTCACTGATAGCCTGCACAATTATACACCACCGAATTCTCGTTTTGGGTCCTAAACTCTTGTCAATCCTCAGGACAAACATATCTGGCTCGCGAGGACTAAAATATCTACCAAGAGTCCAGAAGAGTGATCATAAAGTCCAACTTAAAACAGAGCCCGAAAAGTGATCAGGGGACAACAGAATAACCGATGCGGTTGCACTACTTCACACACTTCATCCGTAAGAGTGTGTTCGGTTTACATTTCCAAGCAGTGCTTGATAGTCTCCCTTGACTGGTGAATCAAGAGGCAACTCCACGTAAAGCTAGACTGGTTCGCAGAGCGGTACCTTGATTCTGTCTTGCAACCTCTTGGATTCTTCTTGTGAAACTCGCTCCTGCCGCGTAACCTGCAACTCGTCATCGAGCTTCTTGTTCTGTTCTTGTAAGCGCTGAATGTCCAACTGCAGTGGGGAAGATTCATCTTTGTCAGACAATATTCAGAGAAACTTGAACGAAGTTTGACCAATGCAAGGCTGCGCAACTGCACAGAGAACATAACAGTCCTTTGGTGCCCTTCGACAATTACGCCTCAGCCTTTGGCGCCAACGACTGCTCAACAAGGAAAGATCTTCGAGAGGCTGCCAACAGTCCTGACGGCCTCACCTCCCGCTCACGGAGCAGGCTGGAGTAGTTTGTTGACAGAGCTTGAATGTCGGAGTCATTTGCAGACAGGCGCTCCACCTCAGCCTTGTACCATCGGAGCTGCATAGGGGCAATTAGAGCAGCCCTGAAATCTCTCAGATCGGCACGCTGGTCCTCAGAATTGCAAGATCTAACAAGGATACTCCATGCGAACAAGAACTTCAGAATGTGACAACTCCTTCTGGTGAATCGCTTCCGGAGCACTATCCCCAGATCATAACGCTTGGTTTCATTGTATCCAGAATATAAGAAACCCTCCATTGCCTTACTTTTTACCAGTTGACCAGCGCAGATCATTGACTGGATAATCAAACAAGCTCACATAAACCCCAACATGAGGGCGCATAGGCCTACCTCGGCTTCAACGTCTGCCTGGGAGCGGTCGTTTAGATCGACATCCTCATGTAGCTCAAGATCTGCCGGTCCATCTGCACCGCCCCGCTCTTCGTGGTGTCCTCTATACCCATCCGGGCTCTTGACCTCCTCATCATTCTCTAGCTCGTCCGCAGTATCAAGCACATCATTTGCAATTGCGGCAAAGTTGTCCTTCAACTTTGCAATTGAGCTCCACATTGTATGTAGCCAGACAACCGCCGAAGATTAGATCAGCGGACAGAGACCACCAGCATGGATCAAAAGCTCAAAAGGGAGATGCAGCCTTCCTCCTTGTATGCTATGCGTGCTGCCCGCTGTCTCCAAGGGAAAGTCTACAGGTCAAACTACATATGTGCCCTGATCGTACGCTGGGCCGCCCCTTCGTGTCACTGCTTCAGTGTTAGGGTTTGCAGAGAACGCAGCGCAAGAAGCGAGCGACTCCTTTCCGAGAGGCATTCTTCGCGTGCAGTCCTGAGCTCTGGTCCTTGGATAGCGCTGGACAGCTAGCTACACCAATGGCAAGTGCAAAGATCCTGATTCCTGGAGCTTGCCAACTGAGTGTGAAAACCTTCACTCTTTCAAAGTTGCCCCTCGGCCGGCCGTCGCATGAAATTTTCAAACCACGAGCGCAGTCAGATCGTACGTACCCAATGGCCTGGACCAGCGCCGTTTCACAGTCTCCGGACTTGGCAACCGACATCGAAGACCTGCAGAACAAAGTGCGCTCAGCCCTAACTTTAAGGCTACACATGCAGCTCTGGCAGAAGGCGCTCTGTCTCGAGGAGGTCTCCCAGCGCCCTTCGCGATGGTGGCCTCCCAGCACCGTGTACCGCGGATTTACCCGCTCCCCAAGAAGGTGCTGAGCCACGGCGTGTTCCGGGCGTTGCTGGAGAGGCGCCGACACACGCTGGACAGTCTAATCGTGCTTCTAAATTCAGGGACGGAGAGAGGGGACAAGGGTAATCTCTCAGATAAGCTCCCCAATGGAGAGGACCCGATGCAGATTGATGGTAATGAAGAGGCAGAGCGAGGGCCGCCAGCCGAGTCAGCGGGGCCGCATTGCGAGGATAAGGAGGCAGGCGAAAGGACGGTAGAAGTGGGTAATAATGGCGCAGGGCCTGCAGGGGCCGTCGAGGAGGAAAGGGAGGGGGAAGCGGAAGAAGGTAATGAGGAAGGGAGTAGGCTAGGAAACTTTCTGGATGCTGCAGAAAGGGATGGGTTGAATGGGGGGTTAGCAGCAGAAGGTGACGAGGGCACCCGGGCTAGGGGTAATATTGACCAAGATTCAGAGGTTTTACCAAACGCTGAGGATGATGCTCTGACCAGAAATGGGAAAACCGTGCAAGATCTGGGGCGGGAGACACCGCAGGAAGAGGAAGGGGAGGCGTCACCATCTGCGGAGGGTGAGGAAAGAAAGGCGGTAGAAAAAGCGGAGCTAGAAGAGCAACTGAACAAGCTGGAGAGCAAGAAGCATAAGCTTGTCCAGCAGCTAAAACAGGTCCTGGTACGGGAGGACTCGAGAAAGTTTGTGCGGCCGCCTCTTACAGCGTCGCCCGTCCCGTCACCCAGCTCACTAACTGTTTCTCCCAACTATTACATGCCAAACGCATCCCCTCTGCCGAGCGCATCCTCGAGCCACCCGTCCCCCCTTGCTACGGCAAACCAGTTTACCGCCCCCCTGAAAAAAGACGACGAAGCGCTGGAGGAAGGCGAGCTTCCTGACGGGGGGTCCCCACATCGAAATGCCAAGCCACAGGTAGAATCAGAAAGGGGCCCAAGTGCAGGCATTGCTGGGGACTGGGACCGACCAGGGGAGCGCACCCGGCTGATGCATAGTGCTTCTTGGGACCAGCGGAATGATCGGTACTATCTTGGGGGAGAGCGCGCATCGGTGGTCTCGCCGAAGGCTGGGTTTGGGAGCAGGATGGGGAGCCCGTATTACCAGCCCCTAAGCTTACGGAGGAACTTTTCGCTGGGGCCCACTGTTACGGGCCCAAATCGGTTCCCTCTTAGGAGCACAGGGTCTGGAATAGGCCTTGAGAACATGCTTAGCCCTCAAGACCCGATGCTTCCGTCTCCGCTCGGAGATAGTCTGGGAGGGCCCTCTCCGGGCGCTGGGATGTCTAACTTCCAGTCTCGATCGAGGGGAAAGTAGTCTAACCTGCTACACTGATTGCACTAATCTATTATCTCTTCTGAAGTAGTTACGGACTTGGGTGCTGGCTTACAGAACCTGGTGAACTTACAGCCCTTGTAAATATAGTCATAGATAGACGGAAGAAGGTTCACAGTGCTGGATATAAAGCACACAGTTAGGGATGAGTTCCATAGGGTACACTTTTCTCGTGGGATGATTGATTGAGCACGCATTCAACTGCAATAATGGGAAGCTTTGGTTGAGCTTTCAATCCAAAGGTATTCTGTAGCAGGCATGCACAGTGCTGGCTACATATCATTTGCGAATCCAGTTGTATGTCCAGAACAACATGATCCTCATAATCTGCTTTGGAGTGCACTTTTCTGCGAGCACATGGTTTAATGGACCCATGTGCAATTATTCCAAGCTAAGCAGCTTGCTGCATGAAGTATTTTCGATGTTTGCATGCATATGTATACATGCACTGCTAGAGAGTGCAGAATTCTCGTCAAGGATGCCAGCAAGAGGTGCACGTCACATTTGACATGCATTTGTCTGCAAGTAGAACCTTGGCTGGAACATTAAGCTCATCCCCTTTTAATCATGTCGGACGTGGCGCGCAACACCACCTTTGCGAACTAAGCGGTATTGTGAGTGTGGATCCTGACCAAATACATGTTGATCAAAGCTTCAGAGGCTAGTCGCAGGCAACGCCAACTTAGCAATACTTAGATGGCCCCACGGACTCGTGATTGGTAGGCACAATCTAAGTTGGCAAAACCTCGGCCAAGCTTTTGTCCAGTCGTCTGATCAATCAACATATTATGTAAACTAAGCCGCTTCAAATCTCCTCGCAAAACCGCCGCAAGCATCATGCACTTTCTATATCCGCCACGACTGAGCGTGTCCCTAGACTACGTATGATTCTATGATGTATCTCTGGCCTGAGCCACTCTGATCGTCGTGAGGCTGAAATGGCGCAGCCTGTCTTGTCCTCCGCTAACCTAGTCCCGACCGAGCTAATCAACCTCTTGAGTCCCAGTGATCAGGCTGGGAAGAGTAACGAGCCAACAGCAACGCATGTGAGCGGAACTGTAACGTTATCATCGAATGTATCTGTGATGGGCAGTGACTCGACAATCGTGGCAGCAAGGGCGATCGCTGCCACCTTCAAAGCCGTGTGCATCATGTTGCACTCGTAGAACCCGAAGTTGCAGAAGTATGTTACATACCTGAGACAACCAAGAAGCGGAAGCATAACTGAGAACGTCAGAGTGTCGACGGACACAAGAGCTCAAGAAAAGCAGGATGTTGCTCAGATCGTCGCAAAAAGCAGTGCAGTCGAAGGACTTGGTGAACGGCAGTCGGGAATGATGCAGCCGGGCACAGGTGACACAATATTCTATCTGCACTTTTCGCTGGTTTACAGAGAAGTTGCTCACAGTGTTTTCAATCATTTGCATGTAGGGAATCCTGTGACAACAGAAACCGCTGCGAACGAGCGGTGGCCCCTCGCCTTGGCTACGCATTATTGAAGCTCAAATATGAAGAGAAGTAAGCGACTTACAGGAGGGCCGTCGCTGTCCCCGTCACGAACATAGCGGCGCTCCCTGCCCAGCTCTTCGACTTGTTGTAGGGAAGCTTCAGCCCTTTCCCGAACCGTCTTCCGACAATATCAGCAATTCCTGTAAGAAGCACAAAAGGGTCAGTGATGTACAATGGAGCACCGCCTCCATAAAAAGGCGCCTTGATGCAAACTGCAGTTTGACTTTGAACAACAGAGTGTGGAGGCGTCTCGGCAAAAGGCTGATGACTGTCAGCATCATCCGCCATTGATGCAATTGGGACGGCTTGAAGTGACGAGAACCACGTCGGCGCCTGGAGGAGGTCCAAGCTCAAAATGTTTTGAAGGCATCCGAAGTACGACTTTATCGCCTACAAACACAGCGGGCTTTCTCGATGGACAGAGTTGGAGGAGGTCAGGACAAGCCCCATGTCACGTTTACTTCCTCTTTGATGCAGAGGGCTTTGCTATCGGGATCCGAACAACGATGAAAGCAATCCAGACTCCTTAAGGAGCGGAGGCACCGTCCCTTCCTTCGAACATGAACAAAGTCAAGGGACAAGATTTTCTCAGATTTTGGACGCTTATTTCGCATCCAGCTGACATAGCTTCTCAAGCTCTACACGATCCTTAAACCTGACACTGTAATTGTCCGCAGCAGAGAGCACAGAGAAACCACTCACCGTCGCCTGCGCACATAAGCGCTAGCGCCGACACCCCAATGGGCGATTGCCGCCAGAAGCAGACGGTCGCAGCTATCAACACAATGACGTAGTAGAGGGGGCCGCCAAGCAGTTCCCTGTGTTAGGCCAAGCAGTTCCCTGTGATGAGGGCCTTCTTGCACAAGGACCACGCTTTTGCGTCCCATTCCAGGCAAGGTCGGTCGAGTGTCAACTCTAAACGACGAACCGACTTCTACCAAGGATAGAATTGATTTATGATGGTTACAAAGGCAGGCAATGAAGGTCATGTCTCTGTTCAACCTAGATTCAGAATTCCAAAGCAGCAAGTCGTTCCAGGCCAACTATTCAAGTGGCTACATCTCGCCGACATTGAGCGGCAGGCAAAAAGACGGAGGGGCAAGCGACTCAAATTGTCCCGACGAACTGCGGAGACAACTCGAACTTGTCCTCTCCTACTTTGGTTCCTTTCAAAGTGACTTGCGGGAAAGGAATGACCTAATAGTTGGCGGGAATACTCTGAACCATTCAAAACTAGCCCTTTTACTGGTGCAAGATCAAAACATGGATAAGATAAAGTAAATACAAGGACCTCTCAGAACAACATCAATGCCAGCCCCTTTAATGTCTGAGAGCGGCAACTTGCAGATGTGACAGTGACTTACCTTCTATCGCCCTCCCTACTGATGGCTTTGACCGTATCTTCGCTTTTGATCAGCCCGGTACCGACGGCGGCTAGTCGCACTAGGTTGGCTGCCGGCACAAGGGCAGCATACAACCGCGAGTTTGGATTTGCACTGCACAACCAGCCGCTGGCTTTTCAGAGCTGGCCGGCACGTGGTCAGAGCTGTAGACCAAACATATCTTAGAGCAAAAATGAAGTAGGTTTGAAGTAGGAAACATACGTGAAAAGAAAAACTGTCAGATTCCTGACTTATAAGAAGAGTCAATGATCTGACTGGAAATGGTGGATCATATAGGAAAACAGGGGAGAACCAGGTTTTGAGAACAAACAAGATTTCCAACTGCTCAAACAAGTCCTTGGGTACATGATGATTGAACTAGAGGCACCCCCAGATTCTGCGGCTTACCTAAAGACTGGCCAGAAGAGCATGAACAAAAGGCCAGAGCTGATGTGCACCAGCTTGCGGCTGAGTTTCTGCAATGTTAAAGCAGTCGTTGAAGGATTCAACTTTGACAGTAAGAATCAAATGGGGCCAACCACAAAGGCCTCCATTTCCCGCCAAGATAAGGAAGACCAGTCGGATGTGCACAATTTGCAGAGAATTCAATGAACAAACAATCTCTAATGCATGGGTGATATTTACAAAGGCCACCTAGGAGATCTGTTCTGAAGAACATGCTAACAACGCAAATGAAACCAGTACGTCAATTTTGGAAGGTACTATGATTCTCTATGCAAACATGGGGCAGTTGTTAAGGTCCCTTTGGCAAACATTGGTCCTGAGCTGACTCACCCTTTCAAAAACGTTTCTCCGCGCGAGCTCATCAAACAAGCGCACCCACACCAGCGCAGCTGCCGCCGTGAAAATGGCCACCCCAAGGTCAGGAACTTTGAGCTCCAGGTGAAGTGCAATGTCACCAGTCGCAAGTGGGGCATAAAGTACAGCGGCTAAGCTCGGCAGAGCGGCAACACTTAAAAGATATTTATGTTTCAGACGTTCCTTCCCTGGAACGACTTCCGGAGCAGGCTGGACGTTTCCTGCCGATAAATCTACTTTTTCTTGAGAATCTCCCGTGCAGCTTAGCACCGGTGCTTCTCTCAAGGAACAAACTTCTACGGACTGTGTTTCGCAGTTTGTCAGGGTCTCTACATTTGAGTGCCTTCGGCCATGAGACTTTGAATGGAAATTGCCCGACGCCCAACCTGGTGCTCTAATAAGCTGGTGTCTTCTAAGCTGAGAACCATCAAAATAACGTATCCTCAAAGCCCTGGAAGACGCAGCCAGCACCGGCCTCCAGCCGACGTCCTCATTTTGACCACTGGGTGTGTCTCTGAAGGAGCAAGCTGGCGCCTGAGCAGAAGCACAGCAACGGAACTTGTTTGTGGCTGCCGGCTTAGGTACTTCTTGGAAACCTATTTTGCTTTGGGTACATATAGAATAGCCCCTTCCTACAAGTCCCACCACCTCCGCAGCCATCGCTGCTCAGCTCTCCTGCTTTGTAAGTTGAACAAGCCTTCACAATTCCGGAGATGCAGGCACCCGGCTGTCACACATCATCGACTCCCCGCTCTTCTGTTTTTCCTTAGCAGTGCCAAATTTCTATAAAAACGTCCAAAACGATTGGTGGCACCACACCACCACCAGACTTACGACACCTGCATTCAAGATCAGAGTTCTTTGATAGTCAGGAGCAAAGGATGCATGCTGCTCAAGGCTTCTCAAAATTCTTTGGAAGGAAGATGTTCAGTGACAAAAGTGCGGAATGGCCAAGCCACGCCTGAAGGCTGAAGGAATCAACCGTCTTCACACCATGCAGGCTGTCCTGTCTAATGAGTTACAAAGGGTCTGCCATGTCATGGGTGTCAGACTTGAGGATCTTCCTTATCCACATCAGATGTCTGACGTGGCAGCTAAAAGCAGCTGCCAACCGTCGATGTGCGGATACCGCGAACTAGTGCGATGAGTTTTTGCGAGTCACTTCCGTTTCAATGCCCCAGGATCTTGTGACCGATCTGGCTAATCTGGCAACTGAACGTCGATTCTTGAAGCAGCACAGTCTCTTGAGAGTCAGGCCCTGCGAGGCGGCAGTGCAAAGGTTGAAGCACTGATAATGTATAGGCAGCTCATCAAGCTCATCGGCACATGAGATCGTTTACAGATCGTTCACAAAGACGGTTTTGAAAGGCCCAAAGTGCCACTTAAGTTGCAGAGTCTGCTGGAATACTCCCGGAATACTCTTCGACGATTGTCAGGTTTTCGGTCCTGGTGTGGTTGGCGTGATCGAGTACATAGAACTAAGGGAACGCAGAGGCTCCAGCTTTCCAAATTACTGGCACACTATAGCTACCATTTGTGTTGGAAGAACAGGTCAGCTGGTTTTCATGATCCAACATCATGTTTGCAGCGCAAGGACATAACAAACTTTAACGACTCAACTTCAGCGGGGTACACGAAGATGGCCTTGGAAGCTGATCGAAGCTGGAATATGCAAGAGTCGCCTCCTTTAAATGGACAAACACCACAGGTTCAACAGTACAGCCGGCGAAGGACGAAACCAGGGCCAGCAGAAAATGCATCCGGTGTTCCTCTGTCTGAAACGCACAGCCCTAATCTGCTTCTCGCTGATACAAATGCAAGTCGATTCCGCAAGCTTGGAGTGGAAGATTCACGAAGACGAGGTCCAGCAAGATCCGAGAGCAAACTCAAACCTGAGAAGATGATAAATCCAATCTGAAGAAAACGGAAGGAAATCAACTACTACGAAAGCTCAGAGACAGACGAGGAGGATCCTGGCGACACCAGGAGCTCATGGAGAAACGCACGCAAACGTGATGAGCAGGAACAATCCAAGGAAGTCGATGCTATGAAGAGCGTACCTAGCGAGGGAGTACCTGGGAAGGGCCAGCCAAAGTTGGAAACATCTTTAAAACATCTTCCTCCTTCCGTGAGATCCTCGACACCTTGTCCGAAGGTCAAAGCAGACTCCAGAAAGGGACTGCTTCCACTCATCCCACCAGTGCAGGCCTTGAAAGCAAAACGGCTGGAAGAGGACCCGATGTCCTTTGAGAACACCCGCTCGAAGAGTTCGCCGTGCAAAGCCTTCAATCTTGCCGCTGCTTGCAACGACCTTGGAAAGGACCAGCAATTGGGAGAGAGCGTTTTTGTCAACAATCGCTTGAAAAGCAGAACGCCGAAGCTGGCAAGCGAAGTTGAAAAGCGTAGGCGTGACCAGACACTGAGCAGATACTCTGATGTTGAATCTGACTCCGGGGATGAGTATAGCCCTACCAGCAGCAGTGCCGAGTCAGATAAAGAAGCCGAAGGGCATGGCAAAAGAGCATCTAAAGTGAAGAAACTACAAAGCAGTACGTTGGAGCACAGCTCTTCGAAGAAGGTTGACGAGGTGGGGCAGAAGGTACGTACACGTAGCATGCCTTCCGAAAGCTACTGAACTCAAGGTTCTAGGAAAAGGATTCAGCTGAATGAAGCTTGGCTATCCCTTTTTAATGCGATGGCGAGGAATTAACTTCGAAGAATATTGCAAAGAATGTTGGTGGATGTCAGAAGGTTGCCAACTACAGTATCATCCACTTCCCTTATCTCCTTCAGGTTTCAACTTCGAAGATACGAAAGGCTAAGCCTCCCGGTTTCAAGAAGAGTATGACCGTGACATTCAAAACCCAGGCAATGCATTCCTACGAAGAAGGCGACCGAGCCATCTTGGAGTTGCCTCCATCATTCGATGCTGAAGGAGATGCAGGTATCTATTTTCAGCACTCCTCTATTTGTGCTTCTAGATGATCAAATGCTTTAGCAGCATCGTTGTCTACCAGAAGTTTGACCGTGTGATGACCGGTCACGAAGTTTCAAGCCAGCACAATCTGATCCTAAGGAAACAAGTTGACTACATGCCTCGGTGCAACAGTCCTGGAAATTGACTTAGGACTCCTCCATTTATCTGGATCTGGACTTCATCAATTGGCATTCGGAAAACGTATACCGTATGTTTCTTTGCAAGCCTACCAGTACGTCCTCTCAAAAGGTGAACGTAGACACTGTGGAGTCCGCCTTTTTGAATCCCATGCTTTCTCTGATGCAAAGGTGCGATCGGTCGATTCTCGAGCGAAGCAGACGCTAAGCTGGTCTTCGACCTGAAGGGTGAGACCATTTTTCAGCGTTACTTGTCAAGTTCTGTCGGAGTATGTCACATCTGATCAGACTCTGATCGTTGAGTGGGCCTGAAGCGTGGTTTGGGACGATATCACTGAGATTTCGCGTAGCTCTTTATAACAAAATTCTATCCTCTCAGAAAGCGCTGCAAGAACTCTCATCAGAGTCTCATTTCCCGGATTTTAACGTTGGCTACTAGTATACAGAAGTTGGGAACAGGTTGCCCCTGCACTCAAAGCGCTCCATCTTTGCAGGAACAATTTTCGATGGACAAATTGTGCCAACTTGCGGAAGCCTGTGCGTTTTGACGCTGACCAGCGAAAAGGCTGAGGTCGAGTACATGGTCAATCACTTTGTCAGGTAACGCTTTCATTGCTCGGTTCTTCCTCTTCTAAGCCGTTCGGATCATGTCTTGCACCTTCAAAATGAGCATTGCTCCTCACCTGATTTCACAACGTGGTCTGCTAAGACCTGTCCCAATACCAGCTCGATGCACTAGTGTCTGGCGCACGCTCCGGACACATGATCTCAAACTTAGTGTTTTGGTCATTCCCCCATGCCACTCATGGGGCGGCTAGTGTACTGACATTCTGAATTCATATCTTTGATGATTCCTCGTATAATCCTGCAGGCTGGAGGAGACCTGGACCATGGAGAACGCGGAAAAAGTGATAGAAGGTGAGTTCGCCAGGCCGACCAGGGTTTCTAGTCCTTCAATCTGTTGATGCAAGGCAACGGGATGGTGCAGAGACGCCAAAAGCCCCTCTAGTGGGGCATTCTTTTGGTCACGAGACGTTCGCAGTGAAATTTATCTACTTCCATCACAGGAATGCTGCCGGATGACGACGAGAATGATGACGTCACAGCCCGTCAGAATTTTGAAGAAAGTCCAAAAGGTGGTTCCGACCCCAAGAGGTCCAAGTCTAAGCGCGCGTCCAGTTCAAAAAGGCGACCTGCAGGGGCGGTTCGCGGCGATAGGAAGACGGCTAAACCTAAAAGACCTTCGCTCGCTTGCAAGAAGGTTTGTTGAATCAAGTGAAACAAAGGACGAGGATCATCATTTAAATGATCGAGGCCCTAGCTCGTTCGCTATGAGCTGGTCACCGCTTGTGACAGCGGCTTAGGGACGCAGATCAGTAACGTGAGATCTGCCGTTACGTACAAATCGATCTCGTTGAGAATTTCCAAGTCGTGCCAGAACGCTTTGTGAGCACTCCCCCGAACGTTTCGGATCGTAAGATAGACCGTACTTACGCACTCATAGAATGCCTTCCCAACTGGAAAGAAAGACCGGTTAATCAAGGTGTGCATGTTTTCGCTGACTCACGAAGAGGAGGCAGGGGCGCTCAAGTCTGACTGCTACTATGGGCCGCCCTGTTGCCTTCTCTCTCTTCCGATAAGGAGGCTTGAGTCATTCTTCTTTTTGTTTCGATGTCTAGTTAAGGAGGATCCGATTTGGCTTTATGACTGGCCGGAAGTCTGTACGTGCTGCAAGCTGGATTGTGTGTAACTTCATGGTCAGCCTCAACTGTTAGTGATTTGAGTTCAAGCGTCCTTTTCACAATACAATTCCTTTCCTAATTTCTAAGATTTCTTTTTTTTTACTCTGCGATTGAGCTGCCGCGTACACGTGCGCCCTAGATGTGCTTCTATAAGCTCGACAGTGGCGGCGAGCCTGTTTTCTTCGTTAGTGTACTGCATTGCCGCCATGGTAATTGACAATTCGCTGAGACAGGAATAGAGCTCGCACTGACTGGGCCTGGATAGCCATGGCTGCATGCCAGCATGGATGGTCTTGGCCGTCCCATACGTCCCGAGCATGCATGCTTTGGCCAATTTGGCGCATGATCAACTACCGATAATGGCCACGAGAGTCTTCTGCATGACCCTCATTTTACCACATTTGAAAATCAGGCCGGTGTTGCACCAAATCTGGGCAGACACTCAATATCATCCCCGCAAAAAGAGGCAAACCCCCAATATCCTTCGCCAATAATTACAAATCACGACGCACACTGGTGTCTGTCCAGCAATGACAACAGCGCATAGCCAGTACAGTACATAACCAAACTCGATTTGCCCAAGTGACTCACCTAAGCTTAGAACCCTCAGATAACAGATTATGGTAATCGAAGTGGGCTCCCTGCCCCTATCCAAAACTTGCCTGGCGGCTTACCGCTGTACTTAATTACAGCGGCTACTTCCGACACCGTGTGCATGGCTTCCTATTGCTGAAAAGGTCTGATCACCGCATTTGAATCATAATCATTTGCTCGGCTTCGAGATGAAAGCAAGCTTTGATCCACCAAAACGTGAAGTCACAATTCTGCTGCTATCATAGTCGGACTAGAACGGCGGCCATTAAAACCTAGTAGATTTTACGTACCGTTCACCAGCAGCAAATCATGCTGCATGACCTGAGCTCCCCCTCAAATCTTCCGCTTACCAATCGCCATATCAGCAATTACGCAACGAGCGATGTCAATGATCGACCCGCAAGCAATTCGACCTTCCGATGCATCAGTACGGTTGGTTGCTTTTCCCCGGGCGCGTCCAGTTGAACCGGTCGTTCATCTCCCAGGGGCAATCAAGAATGTCCACCGTGACCACCTGTCCCAGGAGCGAGTTCCCGGGGTCTGCCCGGCACCGGTAGAGCAACGCCCCCAGGGGAGAGCCGGAGGTGCTGCTCCCTCGGTCGTCGTCTGCAGGGGAGATGGGAGACAGAGCTGGTTAAGCGAAGCGACGGTCCTGTCAAATGTAGAACTCTGAACTCGTGGACGCAGGTAGTGCACAGATTTGAAGCGTCCTCGCAAACGCAGCAGAGAGATAAATAGGACCAGTCTCAAGGAACGGCCGGATTGTGATTCTGTCGATGTAAGTCCGGGTAGAAATATACCAAGTCGGACTCATATTCCAATAAAACAGGGGTCAACGGGAACGCCCAAGGATGAGAGCCTTGATCAAACCAGTGAACGGCAGGTCGATGGCCGATACTCGCAAGGAGTGACCTCTGTATCCTCGTCGTCAAAGAACGCCATCATGGCTTCCTGAAAGCGCCTTTTTGCAACCTAGGACCCAGCGACTTGAAACGCATCCGTGCACGAAAGACCGCCGATAGAAGGGCAATGCATAGCGACGTACAAATCGACGAGTTTTGCTCAAAAAAGAGGATTGATTCCTTTTATTTCTAGGACTTCCAGTGAGACTGTAGAACAGCAAAGGCAGTGAAGGCGCGTACCTGCGTAGACCTTCGCAAGCAGCGGCAACTCGATCCAGCCTATCCCCTGCGCGCACGACGAGGAATACCGTGGTCATTTCAGTGAAACGTCATCGCTGACGACCGCGAAGCTAAATCCGGTCATGAGGCCGTTGTCCTGACACTCAAGAGGAGCTTCTAGTTGGATTGCAAGGACCCTTTCTACGCACTCGTTGCATCGTCTAAGGAGGTCTCCCCAAGGCATAATGGCAAACGACGCGCAAAGCTTTTTCAGAGCCAAGAGTCTCTTATCGAACGTCCAAGCGACTGACGGTATTGCGCATCAGGTCGGAAAAGTGTGAGTCCCAGTCTGAGCGGACTTCTGCGTAACAATTGAAGGCGAAATTGTTCCTCGACTCCCTATCCACGTTTGAACATCGGGCGCAGTTTGCATCGACCCGATCTGTAACCACCAGCATTGCCTTTTCGCTTCGTACCCGCATCTCGGATCTTTTCAGGGAAGATGGGTGGCCAAATAAAGGACCTCGACGGGAGACAGACAGCGAGGCTGCCTGGTCGCTTTTAGTGAAATAGCAAAGGCGCCACTCAATCGCAGGGATGAACGTTATTGTAGAACTTTGTAGCAAGGGGTTCTTGATCCAGAAAGCTCCTTGCGCCCACGCTTCTTAGCCTACGAGACTTCCACTCTCGCAACCTACCTCGATTTCGAGCTTCAGAAACATCCGCCTTCGATCCCCGTTCTTCGAGGACGGTAACTGACACCTGCAAAGAAGCAGGGGGGGGACATCGTACCGTTGATCTCGTTCGCTTTCTTAGCGACAAAGTCGACCTTTTTCAGGACGAACCCGCTTCTGGCGGGAATCTGGTCAAAGTGCCCGGAGGAAAGAAAGGAAGCGAGGAAAGGTGAAAGGGGGAAGAAAAAAGTGAGGGAGAGAAGGCATATAAGAACGGGACCGGAGACCCACAATGAAGCGCACAGTATTCCCACTTCCATCTCAAAGTCTGGCGTGCACGCTCAGAAGGACAAGAGCGAAGGAAAGACGGAAAAGGTAACGCAAAAGAGAATGACCAAAGACAGAAGCTTAGACCCATCTTCCAGCGAGCAATACCCCTTGCGAGACCTTGTCAGCGCCAGAGCAAAACGAATAGTGTACTGAGAAATTGGAAATGAGAACGAGAATGAGGATGATTTCAGGACAGGAAGCGGAGACTCACCTCCAACGCCCACAGTATCCCTCTCGCGTTGGCGTCAGCGCCAGCTTGCCAACTTCGTGCAGCGTGCCCGAGTCCTCTCCCTTCAGGCTGCTAAACACCTGCAGGTCCGCCGAGTTCGACCTGAGAGCAACAGCAGCACGCGCTTGAAAGAAAGGTCACGAGGCTCTTGTTTTGTTGAAGCTAAAGTTCCCTTAGGAGCGAGCAGAGCAGCTGTCTACAAAGTCCAACCAGAGACGACTGAAAAGACGAGTGACATTGCGACAGCACTTAACTGAAAAAGGGAAGATGCGATGTGCGATGATGAGATGATATGCATTGATGCGACAAAACGTTCATGTGAACGGAGATGACCTACAAGAGGCAAGCAACCGATTTGACAGGAACGACTTGACAGTTAAGCAACCGCCAAGACAGATGCTCGCCGTCGTAAATCAGGGTCTTCCCGTGAATTGAAATCGGTTGCTCAATAGGGGAGCTGTCCGAAGCAAGTTGAGTACTGACACCAGTTTTGATCAGAGGCCACGTTGGCTCGTTCGGCTTGGAGATTGGGGGACTCGATCCAAGCGTCTCAATCGATCCAAGAGAATGTCCAAGAATAGGTCCAAAGTGGCTGGAATAGACCCCAACTAGCGCACCGTACAGATGACCCCGTAATTCAATAAGGTTACCATCGCTCTCTCTCAAAATCGCGAGACCCTGAAGGGCATCCAGAAAGCCATCAGAAAGCAAGCGAATGGCGTTCGCAATAATTCTGAATGGTAAACGCACTCACTTGATGAGCACCGGAGGCATCAGCTTGAGACCAACGAAGTAGTCCATCCCCTCGCGCAACTTGACGCATGTGTCGGTGTGGCTCAGATCCTTGAAGCGCTTTCCGTCGTTCTTGAACACAATAGGGGGGCAATCAGTGCCCCCGGGGAGTATTCGCACCCGGATCGCAACCCTGTCGATTGGACCAAAGTCGAGGAACGGGCTCGCCGCTGTGAGTATGGAATGAAGGGTTCAGGACTTGGGGCTTTGAGGCGTCTGTGCCTCCACAAGAAGATACTCATAGTTTTACTCCTTTGACAGAGCCTCAAGGAAGACTCCAAATCGGGCTGGATGTTGAGGGGAGATGTAGCGGCATTCCGTGAAGCAATGGACACTGCAGACTTTATGGGTTGCTCATGCTTGTCGAGGAGGAAAGCAATCAGGAGTTTTGAACTTTGTACAGGAGACTTATAAGACGACAGCGAGGCTGCCGACTGGATTGAGCCAGAGGAACAGGCTCGCTCGTGCAGGAGGTACTGATGCGAATGCCATTCTACTATGAAATAAAGTCAGGCGGACCGCAGAAGATTGAAATGGCTGGGGAACAGGACGAAACCGCGTCGCTATCGTCTATTTTTTGACGTCAGAAAATGGACGCTTCAGATTTGTCGTTTCCAAGCAGTTTGCAAACTTTGCTTCAAACCCGGTCCGGTAACCTGTCCTCACGCTATTGAACCCCTTGAGGCTAAATGTTGCAGACTGGGCTTGTTATGTGAAGATCGGACGGCTGCGATGCGATTTCGGCCATCTTGAGCTTCTGCGGTCCGCCTGAAGTTGACTCTATGTGGTGATGGGTGCAAAAGGCCCCCGAGCAATGGAGATTCTTTTCCTTCTTGAGGACCCACGAGGCTCTGCTCAGAAACTGACTCCAATGGACCGCTGCAGGATGCTCATCATACCTAGATTGTTGCTGACTCTTATGATGACCTAACTGTACGTTCTGCTTCTCTCAAAGGCTTGATCTGTCACAGTTTGATGAATCAATCAGACTTGGCCCCAAATTCAATAGGAATGAGGAAACAACAAGGGACTCCAAAAGGATAAAATGGCCCTGTGCTTTTGTGTCAGGATGAAACCTTTCATCTTTTGGCACCAACGTCGCTGCGCAACCGAATGCTCCAAAAGTCAAAATGGGACCTAACGAACTCAAAAAGTTGGAGAATCGTACCTGTTGCGTCCCAAGGTTTGGGTTCAAACCCTGGCCGCTTCGGGAGCATCAGCATCCGCAGGTCCTGCATGTGTCGGTCTAAATGGTCGTCGACGGTCGGACCGCTCCATGCCACACCCAGGCTTCTGTCTCCATCCCTTGTTCCCACAGAATTTTGCACAGCTGTGCTTTCCTCTTGGACCAGGGTATCATAGGCAGTTTCTCCTCGAACGCTGTCATCCTGTCCACTTTCAAGACCGTTCTGCAAAAGCGCCACTTCTTGCCCGGCGCCTGTGTTGGCATTTGTTTCCCCGCTGATGCTTCCTACTTCCAAGTTGCTAGTGCTCGCATTACCCAATGTTTTAGTTTCTGCATCCCCCAATTCTCTCGTGTCAACATCCTCTCTCTCGCTCGTCTTGGCGCACTTTGACTTGCTCGTTGAAACTTTCTCCAATTGGCTCTCAGTTGCTTCGTTCAAAACTCTTCTTTCCGACTCAAAGTACTCTTCCTCCGTTACTGCTCCATCTGCCGGCCGCTTTTCTTTCTTCCCTCGGCTCAGAGTCCGCTTCCAAAACGACACCTTTCCTTTCCCCGCCTTCTTTTCCGCAACCCCATTCTGCGCCACCCCGTTTTGTACTTGGTCAATTTGACCGGATCTTACATTCCCAGACAGATCTCTCCCTTGCTGCGACCCACCGTCAGCTTCCTGTCCAACGTATTCTTCTTCAGTTAGGTTTGGGGCCACGATGAATGACGGCATCTGCTTTTGCCCGTGACTCATGGATTCCACGCCGTTCAACTCATCAGTCACATACTCTTCCTCAGTGACGTGGCCCCCGATGGGGCCCTTCTTTTTGTTGGGAAAGAGCGGCATTTCCTGAGTGCAAAGTATTTGTTTTGGCTGGCGTGTCAATTGCAGCAAGCGGTTGAAGAGGTGAGCAGTAACGGTGGGCTGGAACTGGAGCGTGCTAGCGAACACTGGACGTAAAGATTCTCTCGTTGGAGAGGGCACAAAGAAATTGAAAAGTTTTCTGCTTCAACGAGAAACTGTACGGGCCAGAGGAAACCCCAACCGGCGCTACTGCTTCCGGGCTTCACGTACACAAACGCGCTTGCAATAATTCTAACATATCACCTGCACAAATTCAAGCGAGCTAATTCGATACTACTTGCATCGAGCAACGCCGCCGGCGGGCTTGCAACGACAAGATGGATACTTCTCTTATAGCCCGTGCGAATCAAAGGCATGGGGCATGCAACGACAAGATCGAATCCTCGTCTAAGGAAAGACACAATTACACCTGATCAGTAATGCTGCTTGCAGCTGATACTCCGCAAACCTAAGGAGTCTGGACTCTGCAGACTGCTGCGCAACGCCAACCCCGGTGTCGGGTCCCTCATCCTTTGATGTTCATGCACGAAATGTGGCGTCTTCTCTTTGAACCATCGTACCCATATCATATGCTGACATCAGTACGTCAGTGTCAACACCGCCCTGATAGGTGCCACAGGAGCCAGCAGACACTGGCAGACTCCAGAGCGCGAAAAGCCGCGATCCCAAAGCAAATAGCACGTGAACCACGTGGAAAATGTGGACATTTCCGCAAACGGCAGCCGCCGCGTCGCAGATCGGCACCGGGTAACGGTAAAGTGCCGTCTTTTCACCCAGATGTTTTTCTTCTGAACCAAAGTTCCGACGTGCCTAGTTTGTACAGCAAACAAAGGCCGAGCTTCTCCAGACTCGGAAGGCTGAAGGCTGAAGCGCTACAGCGGGATCTTGACAGCTGGCAGACCAGGGAGGGTTTGGAATCTTGGGAGAATCTTGTCTCAAAACTCGACAGCTAAAATGAAGATCTACATACCTAGTACAGAGCGTTGGCAGCAGGATCGAAAGGTGCAGGGTTTCGGGTTCATCCTGTGGGGCGATCCAGCTGCTACCCAGCTGGTACTTCTTCGTTGCGAGGACTTCTTAATCTGCTCTGATTGGCTTGCTGGATACTTCTGGAGGCAGCCAAAGTTTACTGTAGGTGAAGCGGGATGCAATCACGTTGTGGGACAAAAGGTTTCCTTGTGATGCCTCCATGACGGGAGAGAATTTCTGGCGCCAAATTAGACTTTCACTGGGAACATTCTTGTAAGTCTCTGATGAAGTAAGTAGAGAAGCCTCCGCGTTTCCATACAGGTGGATCTCATAGATTATCTAGCAAGGTTGCAAGGATGCTCTCAAATATAGCCAAAGGGGTTTCCTCGCCCATTGGACAATTGCAAGCTTTAGGCTCCTGTGCTGGGACTGTTGCGGGATTCCAAAGCAAGTACTTCCTTGCTGTTAGAGAGCTGTGTTTGCTAGCACAGCTTCATATCGGTCAGAATTCAATCACACGTCCAGCAAGCAGCAACCCCCATAGAGATCCAAACCCTTCAGCAGCCCCAACAACAGCCTCTTCTAGCATCAAGGCCACCTTTGCGAAGAGTCCTGTAGCATTTGCTCAGCTTTGCACACATTGGAAGCACCCAAACCTCCTCTCCGATCCCCAGCTGAGGCGCCATTATTCGGGAGGGTCATTCCCAGCTGAGCTTCTCGCCTCAGCTGGCCCTTTGTCGGGGTACCGAAGCGTTGACTCTGCTAGCTCTCAGTCCTCTCCCAAGGCACTCGCGTCGAGCATTCCTATCCTTCAAACCGCGCCGGGTATCGAGCATTTCACCAATCTCAAGTCCCAGCGTCGGTGGATGTCTCCACTGGCTGGATCTGTTACAATGTACCCAGAGATAGAGGAGGCCCCCCATTCAAGCGTGGCGGTCCCGCATCCCTTTCCACACAGTCACAGCACAATCCAGGCAGGCAGGCAGCGGCATGAGGAGTGGCCGTCTGCAGACTATCTTCGCGAAGCGCGGGCGGCTATCTTCCAGAAGGAAGCATTTATCAGTAAGCGGGGAGCGCGAGATGATTGTGTAGGATTGACGCAGGACTGTCCTGGTCAAAGTAAACAGAGCCCTGGTCGCAATTGCATCGGCAACGTGGCGGCCATGAGACTAGTGATCTCGCTCTCTGCTTCAAATCCTGTCGTCGTCTGTTAACGGCCGGCAAATTGCATCAGTAGGACATATGAGGTGGTTTCGGAGACATTCACGTGAGGCGCCAGCCAAAGTTGCAGCTGAACCTAGACAAAACATGCTTCGCTATGCTTCCACATTGATCGGTTGGGTTTGGAGGTCAGAATGCCTCGGAAGCCGAAACCCTGACGATGTGGCAGAGAACAGTTTCTTTCGTCTCGAAGTGGAATCCCCAAGCCTGACAAAGCGACTCTTCTTGCAGTTGATATGGACGGTGTCGTCTACCGGGGCTCTCGACTTCTGCCTGGAGTGCGAGAGGTACGCAAGCTCTTATCCCACGACCTGTCTTTGCGCTCTGCCATTTTGGCGTTGAATAGTAGTAGAGTTACGGCGTCAAACTCTGTCGGCGACCCCAGCGTTGAATATCACGTTTAGTCCATGCTCGGCTGTGGAATAGATGCGAGACCCTATTCAGGTTGGACGGTGCATCGGAGTCTGGTCGAGTGTTAAGTTGGTTGTCCCACTCGTGCTCAAGATTGTTGATGGTTTCGCGTCGAACAAGATCGCAGGCCTGAATGGAATATCAGCTCTTGCTCGAGTCAAACCCATTATAATTCTCGACCACTCATGGGATAATCTATGCCTGCACTTCATTTTAACCGAATTTCTCCTCGCAACCGCGGATCATCCTATGAACAATCGCTCTTTAATCAAGGATTCTTCCTCGCCGTCTTTCAATGCTCAGTCACACTTTTCCCCCCTTGAAAGAAGATATGAAGCTCACTGAATGTCCCTCCACGTTTCCAATGAGCTAGTTTAGTTGCTTGTCCAGAGCGATGGTCTGGGTTCTCACTTCACCTGCGGCGAAACCCTCAGTAACGCGTCTTACCGAACCGCGGGGCCCTACTCCCTGCAGCTTCTCTGACCTCTCCACTCTGGACGAAGCCACTTCGTTGTACCAATAGAGCCGGAACAAGGCTGTTCTTGCATCCTGCATTGACCTTGAAAACATCGCGGTTGCTCTGTCTGCTGGCAGTTCGTCCAGTGGCTGTTGGACGAAAACAAGCGCTTCCTGTTCCTGACCAACTCGAGCGACAAGACGCGTGAGGAGCTGCAGCAGAAGCTCGCCCGGATGGGCGTCGACGTCGAGACGGAGCACTTTTACACCGCCGCCCTGGTGAGGGTTTCCCTCACTCCTCAGAAAAGTTACATCAATGGTGGGCCGACTCTGCCTTTTTAGACCACAGAAGGATCCGCAACCCCCATGCCAGGACGAACAACGAAAATCATGCATTCAGTGTTTCGAAAGTCGACTGGTTCTCATGTTTCTGGTGCGCAGAGTCCTTTTGCTTCGAGAGAGCGTGTATCTCGATCCAACAAGAGATATGCGGCCTTGTTTTAAAGGAGCACGGGCGCATGCGACTCCTCTTTGCTGGCTGTGCCCCTGCGTACTCTCTAGGCATCGACCTCGAGGTCCGAACTCACAACCGTCTCTTTTTTTACTTCGAAGACAATCTTAGTTGGGACAAATGACGATCCTCGTGTACCGAAATACTGTTATGTAACTTTTTGAAGCCAATTGTCGGATGTGAGGGCAACAGGCTGTGCTTGGCTTCCGCATGTTTCTGGTCTTGGCTTACACGAGTCTCTGCTTGCTTCCAGGCAACAGCCGCGTTCCTCTCCTCGCAACGGCCAAACGGAAGCGCTTACGTCATTGGGGACCCTGGAGTGATGAGCGTAAGATTCCCTCGCACCGGCTTTCCTAGCTTCCCAACCCGGGCATCTGGTCAATTCGGAGTCGAAGTCAGTTCTGCGTCTCCTTGAAACCCCCAGAAGGGCGCGTCAACAGGAGTAGGCAGCAATTGCCATTAGCTTCATTCTTGTCGCCAGAACTTTGTAGCTGCCGAAAAAGGAGGGCGGGTTATTCCCTGCTTCTGGCTGGTTCAGTAGGGCAAGGAGTAATGTGGGTCGGGATACCGTATGGCGGTCAGGTTATGTCATGACGGTGAAGACAAGCTATGAAAGTCCGGATAGCCTATCCCCTGCAACGGCCGGGATGGCAAGTCTTCGGATCCGGGTATCGATTGCGGAAGCACAGGGTTCCTGTCCTGCGCCTTTTGCATCTCTCCAAAGACACTTCTGCACCGAGTCTAGAACCTCATGCCCTTTGCTTTTCGTCTTACAGGCCCTGTATAGCGTGGGCTACTCGATGAACGATGTGAACCCGGACTACGTGGTGGTGGGCGAGACGCGGAACTACAAGTGAGCTCCGGTCTCTCTCTGGGCACTGTGCGCTGATTTGTAGCTTCACCTGGCTGCCGGCTGCGTGTTTCCTGTTCGTAAGGTCATAGGGATCCGCGTACGTTGCAAGTCCAACGACACGGACTCTTGAAAGGAAGGCCCGCTATTGGATAGTGTTAGTCGGTGTCTTTGGTCCGATAATATGAGCGGATTTGTCGACCGGGTGATGATTTCACCAACCTTCCTGCAACTCGCCCTGACACTGTGCTCATGTCTGCCAGTCTTTCTTTCTTTGTCAACATCGTGAACGTCGTGGATCTTGCAGCTACGAGCGCTCGATTCATGCGGTGCACCTACTTACGACCGTCCACATTCTCCGCGACCAATTGCAACACGAGTGTTTCTGCTCACCGCGAGAAGCTGAAAGCCCAAGAATTTTGTGACTCTGAAACACTGAATCCCTCTGACCTCGCAGTTACCACCGCCTCAACACTTGGTGTACCTGGTTCTGAATGGGTCCAAGGCGATTCATATCAACTTGCGGCTAGCGTCTTTTTACTCGCTTCTCTCGAACCCTAACTCCTTGAGAAACCTAATCTAAACCCTGATCCTTTGACATCGCAGTTATGAGCGATTGGAGAACGCACTCGGTTCTGAACGGGTCCAAGCTGATCGGTTCCATTTGCGACTGAGAGTTTTTCTGCTCACTGTAGAGAATGAAAATCGATGAATTCTGGAAGCCTGAAACACATAACCCTAAACTCTAAAACCTAAGCCCCTCTAACCCTGCAGTTACGAGCGGTTGGAACACGCGGTCCACCTGGTTCTGAACGGGTCCAAGCTGATCGGCACCAACTGCGATAAGACGGACCCCAGCCCGGACCACCCGGGGGAGGTCATACCCGCGGCGGGGTCCATCATCAAACCCATCGAAAGCGCGACGGGGCTGCAAGCGTACTTCGTCGGAAAGGTGAGCTCGGTGTAAGAACCGTTCGATTTTAGGAACGATCGCTGTGGTCGCTTATGTACGGCTGCTGTGCCGAGTGCGAGCTTTCTCTCATGAACTGCGAATCTCGAGTTGGATAATGCATGAGGTCGAGGTGAGCCAGATCCATGGCCTCGTCTCATCGCAGGACCATCAGAACAATGAGCGGCAGCCTAAAGAAATCATATGTCCAAATTTGCCAACTTTAAGGATTGTTGGGCTTAAAATGGTGGAAAGGAGTAGCTTTGTGAGCTCTGAGTCGCTGCTAACAAGTTGCACAGAATCAGCGGAGGCTGGAAACGTCCGCTCGAACTTTGATACGTCCTAACCCATCCGCCGGGTTTTTCAGCAATCTTCCAACCAGTTTTGCTTCTCTATATCTCCAGAAATGGTTATCCGTAACCAACTGCTATGTCTCAAATAAACCCAATTTCTTAACCGCAGCCGAACCCGCTCATGATGCGGAGCGCTCTGGCGACCCTGGGGGCCAGCCGGCGGTCTACCATCATCATCGGAGACAGAATGGACACCGATATCCTGGGGGGTCTCGAGGTGGGCAGTGATCCGGAATCCTTGCATAAATAGTCTTGTGCTTGAGCTTATTGCTTGCCTTTGAGTATTGAAAGCTTTTCGTGCTTGATTGAAACTCAATCCTTCATTCTGAAACGGGAGGGTGCTTGTGCTTGATCGAAGACTGGGCAAAATCTTTGAAACCCGTTTTTCTCTTGAGTCACCGTCGCATCTTGCTCGTTGCTTACCGCGTTTTTCCCTTCAGCTAACTGACTTCGCCCCGGTCTCATTCCTCCTTGCTCGCTCCGTTCAGTCATGCATGGCCGTATGTTTCATAACATCCTTCTTTTGCCCATTAGAATTCAAAAAGTTGACGCCTGTGCGTGGCCTCACCTTTGAGCAGTAAGAGTAGAACGTGTACCCTGCACTGCATGAAGGCAGAGTGCTCCGTTTGGAACAAGATCCATTACCAGGCAATGACTTTTCCTTTCTGCTTACAGGCCAGTATAGACTCCGCTCTCGTGCTGAGCGGAGTGACGTCCGTGCCAGAGATGCGGCGGTTTGCGTACATGCCTCGGTTTGTCCTTCGGGGGCTCGTCGACCTTGTTCCGGACGGTGTGCCGATGTCCGCAGTGGATCACGAATGATTGTGCCAGGTCTTAGAGCGACTCGGCTTATATCGAGCGCGTGCAGATTTGCTGGAGTGACTCAATTGCGCACTTGACTGCTTCAAGTGGCGGTCTGCGTTGCATGGGTGCTTTCATGTTGCAAGATGGCAAAAGCATGCTCGATGAGTTTACACCATCACCAAGGGGATGGACTGCCTTGCATCAGAGACTTTGGAAATGCGACCACAACATACGGCTCGATGAGGATCATCTTGCGAAGAGTGCGCAATCGGTTGATCACTATACTCATGCAGCCCTGGTTAAAAGAGAATTCCAATGTCTGGTGTGAAATGATCCGCTCATAGTGAATCTAGCGGTCGACCATGATCCGCCAAACTGGCGGGTGAATTGGAGGTCATATACCCTTTTCACAGCTAGCCGCAAGTGCATGGTCGACCTTTGTGAACAATCATGGCTTCCGGGTGCGGCTGAGACGTGCAATATATCGCAATGCTAGGTACGGTTGTCCCACTAAAGTTCGTAATTTTTGGCCTGTAACTCACTGATACATGCAAGGCGAAATGACCAACAACAGTTGTGTGCGGCATGCGCGCGAGCGCAGCCAATTCTTGCGCATATACGTACCACGATTGGCCAGATTTTATAGAAACAGGGGAGCCTGAGTTCAACCGACCCGCGGGCGGCCGCCGCCTGTTGAAAAGCCCCGTGGCATGCCGCACGCCATGTGATCGACATGGCAACTTAAACACTTGTCGCAGCTTGCATGTTTCATAGTGACAGAGATGGCGGGTGGACCATGGATAAATTCTTTGCACAGATTTTGTCATGCATGACATCTTATGTTGTTTCAAATACAACCGGTCGTGCACATTCTCGATCTGATCATGAATCGCTACAACTCAACTTAGCATTTGGTCGATCTTCGAAGCACTATATCACAATTCCATCTGACTTCAGAGAATTCAACTAGATATCCGCATTTCAAATACTTGTCACAGACGTGGTAGTGCACTTTGCAAGCCAGGACTTGTATAAGAATCATTGCGAGACTGTCGGACCCGCCTCAAATTTTGATCTACTGACATATGTCCTAGCTGCCCAACATGGCATCGGTCTTAATACCTCTGTTACCTGGTTCTGTGTGTTCAAATTCCTGAACCTACACGGTCGTGGTTTTTTGGGCGCGAGAGGCCGCTGCTCTAACGAAGCAAACCTCATACATATAAAGGTGGGTAGAACTTCAGGATTGCCTTGCATTTGGCTCCTGTCAGCACGTCATCGTTACTATTCTTCAGTAGGACACTTCGGACTCTGCGGTTGCCTTGTCCAACCATGGACCTATATGCGCTTCATTCACTTTGCCGCCCTCTTTAGCAAGTGGCGTCCAAACGACCTTGTGTACGGTGATACCTTGCATCAGATCAAAACTTCAGCACCCCGCCCCGGCCCATGCTTTGCTTCTTCGGAGCCTTCTGAGGGGCTCGGGACCAGACTAAACCAGCCCTGCCCTCCTCCGACCGGAGTTTTTATAGCGAACGGCAGCACTCCTCCGTCGCTGTTTAACGCTGACAGGTGGCTTTCGCTTGCGGACCGCATCATGCCGGACAGCGTCCGGAACCCCGAACCCCAGCGGCTTAACCCGGGCTTGACTCCCAGCTTAACCCCGGCAAGAGAACCAGCAACGTAACCTGTTTCTGCGCTCGACTGGGGAAGCTCGGAAGATCGGCCCCCAAGCGGAGACCCAACTCTTGTGTCCGAGACAGACGTGGACGGTGATGTCAAAGGCAATATCTGAGGCGGTTTGAACCGGCCATAGCTCCCTTCAGTCGCACCGAAGCTGCCCGCCGGGCCGAAAGACGACCGGTATGACAGCCCGGCCAGATCGTTGCTGCTGGAGTAGGCCCTGCTGCGGGCGAGGGTCGCGCTGAGGCCGAGTCTCGGGGCCTGGCTCAAGAGCTCCTCGGGCGAAACGGGGCCCGCCGAAACGCCCCCGCTGCTGCCGCGAACCATTCGGCCGGCCGCCGCGTCAAAGACCCACTCGCTCGCTGTTGAGACGGATACCTCACTTGGAGGGGGCCCGGCCGTGGAAGAGCTCAAAGCAGAGTGCGTAAGGGGGTTCAATCTCAGGGCCGGAAAACCTGGGGGTGCGCTAACGGGGGGCAGTCCCCGTGATTGCAGCTCGCTTCGGGGGGGTGTAAGTGGCTGCGGGCTCGCTACGGTCGTGGAGGGGGGTCTGAACGTTAGGACGGACTGACCCCCCCGGAGCGAGCCCTCGCTCCGAACGCTGCTGGTCCCGCTGCTCTCCGACAGCTGGTCCGTCTCTAGGGGGAGCCCAATATCATCCCCCCCTTCCGCAGTGGTCGGTCGGCTCGACCAGCCACTCGAAACCACAGAGGGCGCCCCGGAAAGGCTCTCCGGGGGGGGCGTTGCGGGCGGCGCGAGCGGGGGGGGGTCCGGGGACACCCCGACCAGGGGCACCTTCTCCCCCTGGAGCAGCGCACGCGCGCGCTCGACCCCCCAGTGCTGCGCAAAAGCCTTTTCCCGCATCACTGCGGCGGCGGCAACCGCCGCGGCTGCCGCGGCCTCCTTCAACCATTCCGGTTTTCCGCTCTCCGACGATTCCTTCAACCACTCGGGGTTTCCGCTGTCCGGCGGTTCTTGCAGCGAGTCCTGTTTCGCTCGGGAGAGGGGGAGGGGGGGCAGCGCGGCCGCCCACGCAGTCTGGTCCCGGAGCAGCGTTGGGGGGGGGCGCCCAGCACTGTTTGTCCTGGCAATCTGCCCCCCGGAACGGGAACGCTCGGAACCGACGGCTTTGCTCCGGGGGGTTGCGCGCTGCATCTCAAACACATCCGCCGGGCTAGAGGGGTTAGGGGAAGATGTCGGCAAAACTCCCACAGGGTTAAGGAAGGGTTTGGGCAAACCCTGGGCAACCCATGCATGCCAGCTGGCAGCCGCTGCCGCCATCGCTGACGCGTGCGCCTCAACTCTCTGCTGACGTAACTCCTCCTCGTGCGTTGACTTCAATGCCGCCAACACACTCAAAAGCCGTGCTATCTCCAGCCTTGCCAGAAGCAGCTCCCTGTCTTTCTGTTCGAGGCTCTGCCGAAGCAGCTCGGCGACTGCCGAGTCTGGGCCAACTTCGGGTTTATTCTCCTGGTCGGAATCCTTCTCTTCGAGGCCCTGTCGAACCAAACTCTGAGCTACCGGGTCTGCATTCTCTTCGACTTCAGTATCGTCCCCTCCTGACTGAGAACTGCTCGCTTCCAGCCCCGATACGATCTCCGGGGGGTTTTCTGGGGCGTCCTTTGCAGGAATGGGGGCCCCTTTGCCACGTGGCAACTGCCAGGGGTTGTCTTTGTCCCGGGGGGGTGGCTCCACAGGCGCTGCTGCTCCCCCCTCCTTTTCCGACAGCCGCTTCTCACGCACTGCGAGCTCTGCGCTCTTCTCCTCCAGTCTTCGCTCAAGCTCCTGCAGCTGTTTCCGTTCCGGTTCTACTTGTTCCCGTTCCGGTTCTACTCTCTCCTCCGCTTGCGACTTCGCCGCCTGCTTGCTGATGATCTTGCTGACAAAAGCGGCGACGTCTCCGCTCCCCTGCACCTGTCCCTCAGTCGCTCTTCCAACCCCATCACCGGACCGCGCGTTGAGCCGATCAGGAACCCCGCTCCAATTACCTGTCCCAGTTTTGGACGAGACTTCCGTTCGCACCCCCTTACTCGCCTCGTTCCTTGGCGTCGTTTCGCCTGCGGAACGACCCACGTGGCCTCTTCCCCCTACGGCCCCCGCCTGCTTCCGCGCCCGGTGTGACGTCACCGTGACCCACTCGCCCTCGCTCGAGGAGCTTATTTCCACCGCTTCGTCGGCCAGCGGTTCTCGAACCGAGGGGACTGTGGAGTCGTCCTCCGAGCGCTTTATTGACTCTTCCGTCGTCTCGTCTGTGTGATCGTGATTCTCTCCCTTTTGCAACGCTTCACTCTGGCTGAGGACATCCACATACCGCAACGCGCTTCCGCTCTCCGCCCCTATTCGACCGACGCCTTCTGCTTCCCCGGGCGCTAAGCTTCCTCCCAAATCCGTTCCGTTCTCGTCGCTCCGAAGGAGAGAGCTTCCGACCGGATCGGGCGGCTCCTCTTCTCCGTCCGTCGCCTCGAGGCTTGTCACCCCGCTTTGCTCGCTCTCCAGCCCGGTTTCCCTAACCTTCTCGAAACTCTCTCCCAAACCCAAGTCTCCTTCTCCCCCAAAACCGGCCCCAATCACCTCGCCCTGCCCCGGCCCCCCTTTCTCCCTCCGGCGCGCTTTCTTCCCCCTCTTCTTCCTGGCGCTTCTCGACACCCCTCCTTCGTTTGCGGTCGCCGCACTCGACTCGTGAAGCTCGTCTAGAAGCCGTTCCTGCTTCTGGGTAGCTTCCACTTCGAGCTCCTTCCACCGCTCGCTTAGGATTGCGGCTGCTTCGCTCTGGGGGGTTGCTTCGTCCAGGGGCGTGCGGCCCCGGCGGCAGCGGCGGGCGGCATCCGCCCCGGCCTTGAGCAGCGCTTTCCTGAGGTGGGAATTTCATGTTGTTAGGACGGAATTACATCAGCCTCTGAAGAAAGGGCTGGTCGGGATTGGACTGAAGACATTGATACTCGTGGACGATATGGAAGCGGCTCAATGCTGCTTCGTGTATAATGGGACATGTAGAATGCTTTCGTGACCCCAATACCACCAGAACTACCAAGTGTATCGATGCACTCAAGTAAAAGCTGAGCAATGCAGTACCGGTTCCCTAGCGACAACTTGGAAACATAGAAGAAGCACGAGTTTGACCAGAAAGACACCAACTGAAAGACCAGTGAGCTCACCTCGGTTTCCACTCAATTGAAGCGTCAGAAAGGACCAGATTTTTCTCGAAAAGCTCCTCAAGTGATTTCGGAAAGCCTTCTATAACAACCTCGAATCCGAACATGTGCACTCACATGTGAAAGATTCAAATGTGGACTGCTACTCACAAGCTCTCCGGCGTCTGCTTCCTCGCGCCGTGGTGGAGCGCCGTCCTCCCCTCGTTGTCCGTTCCGTCCAGCTCCGCACCCGCAGAGATGAGCGCTTCGACGGCGGCCGTGATATTCTGGCCCACGGCGTGCATCAGGGCGGTCTTCCCCTCGGCGGTCCGGGCTTCCAAGTCGCCCCCTGCCTGCAGAGACACGATTTGTTTTTAACGGTACGTCTTCGGTCCCACCTTTCCAGTACTCAGGGTGAAGGGGCGGTGTAAAGTTTGCTCATGGATCCGAGATATGCCGACGAGAAATCCACAACATCGGATTGGACTAAGAGGAGAGACTAGTCAACTTATGAGCAGATCAGTAATCTTCTTCGGGCGCACAGGTGTTCTACCTTCCGATGTTGTTCAAAGAAGCCGACCGACTTCCTCAAGTGCTCCATGCACTTGAACTGAAGTGCGCAAGTTAGGAAGCGTTGGGAACATTCTCTGTATGATACACCGAGTTCAGACCTTCTTCAGGACGCCACTGCGTGAGCCTGACCGGTCAAAGGTAGAGCACCACCAAGGCGCTCTCGTCTTGCTCGCAAAACGGTTACTAGACTACTGTCTTGAGAGCTTCTGGAAGGACCTTTTTTCGGTATAACAGAGTTCATTCCGCCATGATCTTTTAAAGTCTCTCGCTTACTACCTGATTTATTTTTCATCTATCACCCTACCTGAATCAGCAACCGTACACAGCTCTCGCTGCCCCCCTCCGCTGCCGCAATCAGCGGCGTGACGCCCCCGTGGCTCTGCGCGTTGACGTCCGCTGCATGCTTGAGTAGCTTTCGGACGCAGTCCACGTGTCCGTTATAGGAGGCCGCAATCAATGCGCTAACGCCCACCCGGTCCTTGGCATCCACAATCGCGCCCGCGCGCATCAGCAGCTCGACACACCTGCAGTCGAGAGTTGGGTTCCGCTTTCATTATCGAAGTTTGTCGCTTGACCGCAGTTTGCGCAGCTCGAGTCCTCAGATCGTGCTACGGCTTGTTTTAGAACTGCTTTTTCTGGTCCCTGTCTAGTCATGAAAAGAAACAAGATGTTGACTTCTGACTAGTGCTTTCTTACAAAGAGACCAGAAGATGGCCTGGACGAAGCAGTGACCGCCCTACAATGTGATCGTCATGCAATAGACGCACTCACGTTGAACAAACATACGAGCAACAGATCTCTCGAATGAGAAAATTGATCAATCGCAAGCAAACGTCAGCGTTCAGAGTTCGAAACACGACCGTTTTCCAAAAAAAAAATTGCCCCATGATTTGCTTTTGAAAGAAAAGAGCACATCAGAGTAACCACTCACTCGGCTGACCCCCCATCCGCAGCCGCCAGCAACGGCGTCGCTCCATCCGGGTCATAAGCGTTCACATCCGCACCCTGCTCCAGCAGATAAGCGGCCACCTCCTTATGCCCGTTGCGACTGGCGCTGGAGAGCGCTGTGTCGACGTCCGACTTCCGCTTGATTTTGCTCTTCTGCAGCGACTCAACACCGGCTTTTACGGCTTCGAGGTCGCCTTTTGAGGAAGCCGCAATCAGGGCGCTGCCGGGTGAGCGCTTGGGAGAGGGCTCGGTGGGGCCGGGGGTAGGGGTGGGCAAGCCGGCCTGGGGGGGTGTTAAAGGAGAGACTTGAGAACCAATACAGATACTTATTGAGCCGAATGGGCATGATTCCTTGTCAGGAAACAAAGCATTGCGAATGTCGCCCCATTTTTAGATATACAATAACGAATTGGAGACGAATCGCAGCAATCCGGTGCAAGTCGAGCCCTTTTGCCTGCGTGGATTTTCTAGATTCATATAAATCCTTTTCGTAAGTCCGTTGCTCAAAAGCAGGACTTCCTCAATGAATCCCGACATTATTGTCAAAAGCAGGAGATGAGTTGGATAGCCGTCCCTCCTCTTCCCACATCTCTTTCCGAAAAGTGAGGCCTACTAGCAGATAAACCCCCCTAGTCACCTCACAGAAGATGGAATGTCTCAACAAGTTTCTAGATGCAGGGCGTGATCTCCTGCCACTGCATTTCTGCAGCCGTCACAAGCAGCGAGCACTAGATGAAACGGAGGACTGCCCGATGTCAGCCATCATTGTTGACAACGTCAAAAACTTTGACGGTCGGTATTGAAGGCAGATTAACGAAGAGAATCAAAGAAGGACGTGCACATTCCACGCCCATTCTAGAGGGACGGAGTACTAACCTCTGTCCACTTTTCCTCGGCGTTTATGAGCGCTTTAATGACCAACTCCATTTGGCCCCGGGGCACTTTCACCCCCCCCTGGTTCGGCAGGCCCCGCGAAACAATCTCCTGCGCAAGCTCCCGGGGGCTCCGCCCCAGATTGTCCTCCGTCAGGGGGTTGGCCCCCTTGCCGAGTAAGTAGTTGACGGTATCCTCCCGCCCGTACCCGGCCGCCATGTCTGAAATGGGGGATCAGGGCGAGGTGCGGTTGGGAAAATGCAGAGGGAAGAGTAACAGGCCACTATGTTTAGATATAGCACCCGGTCTTTGCTTATTTTGTGCAGAAAGAGGAAGAGCAAGCATGGTCGAACAAGGAAAAGGAGAGTTTGAACAGTGTACCAAAAGTAATCAATCGTCAAAGAGGTCCTGTAGGGGACTACAACAATGAGACAAGAGTAATAAGTATGCTCGATGGCAATGCGTTTGTGAGAACACGAGATTGCGCCTACATATAGCAGTGTCTCACGGCTCTGTACCTGCTGATACAACGTTGGATGCTCCCCCAACAGCATATTAATATTATCTTGACAAGCTACATTTCATCTGCCTGAGATGAAGTAGGGCCTACTTCCAAAAAAACGCAGGTGCTTAGGATCGGATTTGGACACTCATTTTGTTGACAACAGCAACAGCCCTCGACCCTCCGTACGATGATGAACAGAACGCAAGGTGCCAGTGCTTGCAGGCACCCTAGTAGTGAGATTTTGATTTTCGTGAGAACCACTCATGAAGGGGCGGGTACCTGCACCGCAACTTTCATTACTAGGAAGAACGAACTCACGTAGTGGTGTGTAACCGTCGATGTCCTTGCATTCCAGCTCGGCCCCCGCTTCCACGAGCAGCTCTGCAGACTGGCAGGAGGCGGTGCCCGAGGCAAAATGCAGCGCCGTGCGGCCGTTGCTGTCACGAGCACGCACGCTGTCCTCCACCACTGTCTCCATCAGGAGCTGCTTCAGGCGTTTCACCTGCAATTACTCAACCAGGAATCTACTCAATTTTCTGTTGTAGTTGTAAGACGAGGATGTGAGAATTCATCTGTGATGAGATGGTTCTTATCAAGTTTGAAGTCATCACACTGGAAGAGCACGCTGTCCTCCACCACTGTCTCCATCAGGAGCTGCTTCAGGCGTTTCACCTGCAATGAGTCAGTCAGGAATCTACCAATCTTCTCTCTCATCTATCAATCTTCCCCTGTAGTTTTGTATGAGGATGTGGAGACTTCATACGTGAGATGAGATGGTCTGTTCCAATCTGAAACAAGCACCACTGTCCTCCACCGCCGTCTCCATCAGGAGCTCCTTCCGGCGTTTCACCTGCAATCAATTAAAGAGGAAGCTACTACATTCCCTGTAGGTGTTATGTGAGGATTTGCTTTCAATCGTGATGAGATGGTTTTGAATAAACAGAAAAGAGCATGCTGGCCTTCACCATTGTCTCCATCAGAAGCTGTTCTAGGCGCTGCACCTGGAACATGTTCCCTTCCAATTCTTTCTCTGATTATCCCCTTTCCTCGCTTGAAAGGGCCCAGCGACTCTGGTTTTGATGAAAGGGATGTGCTCCAAGGAAAAGAACAAGCCGTTCTTAATCTCCATCAGGAGCTGCTTCAGGCAATTTAGCTGGAAAATGGTAACCAAAGATTCTTCTCAACCTCCCCTTAAAATTTGTTTGAAGAAGTCTTACACACAAGAAGCTGTGCATGCGCCACCTAAGACAGGGCGCTAAATGGTGGTTAAGAAAGGGAAGCTTCTCCAGGCCTTCACATACAAACAATGTACTGCAAAATGCAAAACCTTTGAGATTTCAAGTTAGGTAGAACCCGCGCAGCAATACCAAGTCTCTAACAATGATAAGTGAGAAGGCACTAGCAACCAGAAGAGTATCCTGCAAGAGTTTACCCGCATGCTGATCAGAACCCGTCTCATAATAGGATGTACCAGGATCAAAAGACAAAAAGCTGAAACATAGCCGCGGGAAAAAGGTGTAAATGCAAACAAACGTGACTTTGACATTCCACTGGTGATGAATCACAATGTGAACGCGGCATGTTTTAATTTAGGGGTTCCCAATGATCTGTTAGCCAGCTCAAGTCCTCCAATGCAAATTACATTATGGTTGTTTTCAGCAAAATCCAGCAACATAAACCCTTACACTGTGAACCATTGGGGAACAAACAGGACATCCTGAAGGCATCATGGCGACTTTTCACATCGTAGATGGCAGGAGTACTATCTAAATGCTGATGATGAAGAGACTTGGAAAAGCAGTCAGGATTGATCGAGGATCATCTTCTTTAATGTGCCAGGTGCTGGTTGAGGGTGACTTCCTAATTAGCATTTGCCATTCATTTGCCAAAAAAACGTCCCCACTGCATTTTCTTACCTGCAATTTCTTTGCAGCATCAAAAAGAGGGTTAATGCTAGCGTCCTCCTTGAAATGTGGTGGCATGGTGACGCCCTGCTATTAGCTATCCACTTGCTTACTGCCCTGGTCAGGTCAAGGTTTGTGAGGACAATGCAGCCGGCCTAGATACTCCATTCCAGCGTTCAGTACGCACTTATCACCGGCAATAAAAGGGAGGATTACCCAACTCATTCAGAATCCTCCAAAAGAGAAAGGTGCTAATATTTCGCCCCAGGTATCATTGTGATGGCGGGGAGGCAAGGAAGAAGGAGGCCTGGACAGTGGAAGAAGGACGCCCTAGCTCAGCACAGCGCTGCGTGGAACCAGCGCCTCAAATGTCATTGTACATAGGTCTGACAGCAAGGACGTTTTGTGCGGCTAGGGCTTTGCGTAGGGCATCCCGGGCGACTGCCGGATTATACGACGTGGCTGAGTGTGAGGCAGTAGCGGAAGCGGTTCTCAAAGCAGCGGTACTCTTCAAGTCGAATTCGCCATTCGATGAGTATTCGGACGGTGTACATTGCCTGCCGAAGAACGCTCCATGGGCCGTCGACTGCGGCAGCGGCCGCCGGTCGGTCCGACGCGGTAGCCTAGCTGACTTCGAAGTTCGACGATCGACGGCTATAGTTGTCATGAATGATGACATCATGGTTACGGGTTTGGCCTGTACTAGATCGCTTTACAGTAAACCACCGCGCTAACCCGTTTTAGAGTGGGTTCCCGCCATTGAATGCTTGCATTGAACTTTCCAAGTGTTGCGAATGCAGATGCGCCGCGATGCTCAGAGCTTTGAAGGTTCATAGATTGCACCTGTGAAAGCTTAGTAAGTCACTGGGTGCTAGCATGGCTTGCTGCCCGCTAAGTTCTCCGTTCGATCGCTTGTCAGATGACCTGGTTGTGCGGATCTTGGAGAAAGTGGCAACGTGGAGCTTGGAGGACCCTTTCCGTTCTGTCCGCACCTTTCTCCGGGCCACTGGAAGCTGTAGGAGAATGCGCAAGCTGGGACACTACGTCAAAGAGGTTGACTGGGCTCTGAACACCGTCCCAAGAGCTGCCAGTTTCGTAAATTTTATCCAGCACGAAGCGGTGTCTCTGTCAACTCTCAGGCTCTTTGTGAGTAGGCGGCGGTTGGAGAAACTGCCTCTTGAGTTGATCTTTACAAACGCAGTCAGGAGGAAGCTTCCGGCAACCATACATGTGGCGTGCTATAACGAGGACGGCCCTTTGTATGCTGGCGAGAACGTGAACGATGTTGGAAACAAACCCCTCCTGGATATCAGTGAGCTGGTCAGCACGTTGCTGCGGAACCCCCAGCTCACAGAGTTGCAGATAGCAGCGTCCTTTTGTGACTTCACAATCATGCACTTACTTCCATCCCGGCCATTACCTCAGTTGAAAGTCGTTGTCTTGAAGGACATCACCTTGATTGAGACGGGCAGTTTGAAACGCCTCATCACCAATTGCAGTCTCTTGGAGCATCTTGAGGTGTCAAATGAACTGAAGGAGGAAGACTTGGACCAACACTCTTCAACTCTGGAGATAGTTTCGCGCTCGCTTAAATCTGCCGTGATTTCACGGTTGAATGTAAAGGTGGTCGCACCTCAATTGCTGAAGCTGCAAGCCAGAGTAGGGAACCTGACTATATTTGGACCTGCCCTCCTAGAGTTGTCAATAGACGCTCGTTGGAGAGTATCATTGAGTACCCAAGGGCCAACGACGGGTACTCAACTGCGGCAACTTTCTTTGGAACACATTGAGGGAACTGGCAACTGGTGGCCCAACATTTCAAAGATTGTCAGCAAGTTCTCGTCCAGTCTAGAGGTCTTAGAATTGTCATGCAGACAAGGGCTGGAGAGCGAAGGGTTGATCGAACCAAAAAGCATTTTATTGGAAGAGTTCCTTGGGTCTCTACCGCCGAAGCTAGACACTCTCTGCATGGGGGGAGGCTTTCTTGAACTTGTCACAGGAGGCCAAAGTATTCAGCCACACGTGTGTCAGGTTTCGTGCAGTTTACGAATCTTGAGAGTTGAGCTGAAAGGAATTGATGCATCGTATCTACGGTTGCGGTTGCTGGTCCGAGCTTTGCCGATGTTAAAAGTGCTAGAGATAAGACTTCCAAGTTCACCTGACAAGGACATAGCTTTGTTAATACAGGACGATTTTGCAAAGGTAGCTTGCGTGGTCCTGAAGCAGCGGTAGAAGCGCCCGCAAGTAATCTAAATCTGTTGAGTACAGGATCAGATTCTCAGTGTCCGTCAGATCTGAGTTAAAAATCACTAGGTGGCTAATAAGGTTGCTCCTTATCGAGTTGTATGTGTGCAAAAGTGTGGTGAAAGTATCTCATTTGTCTATGGCGCATGAGTTCCTTGGTCAAGATTGCAGGATTCAAAGACAGAGCAGCGTGCGAGCTGTGAATTAAGCATGTTACTGCCCAAAGCTAGCATCCTCCACATGCTGGTGGAGCCTGCTACATGACATGAAAGAGACGAGTTGAATGATTGAATCGTCGGCACGCTGAATCATCAAACTACCGTTGTCCCGCATGTGTACCATGCAGGTAAGGCTCACTTTAATGCATATACCCATTCCTCGGCCTGCATGCTCGGCCATGCGGCGCCCATCTTTCAATCCAAACATCAATGTGCATGCGACGCGGCATCATTGCGACCGGCCGCGCAGTAAAGTTTCCGCCAAATTAGGTCGGCAATATGCATACACCAGCCTGAGATATATCATGCAATCCATTGCAGGCTGGCCGCCTCCATTGCCAGATCGACTTTACGGTAACCGTACATTCGTAAGGTCGATCTCATTGGATCAAGAACCGTCATTTCACACGCAGCTGCCAAACTCATGAAACGGCACTTGAGAAGCAAAACACATCTGCGTAGGAATGCAAACGTTTCCAGTCTGCAAAGTGATGCACGAGAACGCGAACCTGCTGTGCAACCTAGGTCCAGACAACCGTTCAGTCAACCCCCTTCCTCCCAATCCAGATCGTCCTCTGCATGTAGCACTTCCTCTGTTTGCTTTCTGTCCACGTCCTGACCAGGCAGTGCATCTGCTGTGCCCCCCTCTTCCCACTCCTCATCATCGTACGCCCCCTCTTCCTGCTCCTGAATTCGGACGTCCAACCCCGCTGCCCCAGCGTCCGAAGGCCCCTCCTCCCATTCCATCCCTTCCTCTTCCGCTTTCGCCTCTAACCCTGCCGTTAACCCAACGCCGTTATCCTCCCTGACTTCCGCCGCAACCGCAGCCTCCTCCTGCGCTTTCCTCAGGCTCTCTTGGTACGCAGCATAGTACGCCTTTGCATACTCTTCCTGTATTCTCCGCTGCTCCGCTTCCGGGTCCGCGGGCTCCTCCTTAACCAACCCAGGTTCCGGCTTCACCGCAAACTGCCCCACCTCGGGTTCCGGCTTCGGTTCGCCCTTAACCAACTCCTCCTTTACCCCCGGGGGCAGCGCATACTCTCCCCGCTGCTCGGCTGTCAAGTTCGTCATGCTCTGCCGAATCATCCACGGCGGCAGCTGCTTCAGGGGGGCAGCCTCCTCCTGCGGGGCAGCCTGCGCGGCACCCCCGGCTCCGGCAATTTCTACCTTGACTTGCGTCTCGCCCATGAACGGAAGGGGCACGTGGGTCGGCACGTGTCCTTTCCGGTCCTCTTTTCCGTCCGCGGAGCCGAGCGTCTGCTGCATGACGCTGTTTTGGAGGACCCACTCGCTGAGGGAGAGCGTCACAGGGGGGGGCAGGTTCCGGACGACCTCGAGTTGGTCGGTGAGGGGCTTGATTTGCAACTGCAACCGGAAAAGAGCGCTTACGAGACTAAGTGAAAAGTCAATCCTCTTGCAGTCGCGGAAGTCGAGGAGCGTTCGAACGGTCCAGAATCTCAAGACCGCGGCTATCTCATTCTCTTTTGGAAAGATACAATTGGAAAGACAATCAAGGTGACCTCGACCCAACTGTGGGGTTCAGGGAAAATCGGCTTTGGGGGTTGAGAAGAGACAAAATTTTCCATATGTCCATCCCACTCCTTTCGACGCAAACAACAGCCCAAAAAACGACGCATTATCGCTCCACAAGCCTCACAACAGGAGCAAACGGACCTTGATCTGGGCCAGCTTGTTTTCTATTTCGCAAGACGCAACCTGGAAGCATACGGGATTTACTGCTCCCTGCGAACAATCTTCCACAACTTACGAAACAAAAAACGGACATCGAGTTGCGCCAATCAAAAGCACACAGACTCCCATACTCCCTGACTCCCACGAAACATATGAACCGGAAAACGGACCTCGAACCGCGTCAGCACTTTCTCGACCCCGCAAAACGCACCAGGACTCCCATGCTCCTCGCAAACAAACCTCCGATAAGAGGACCCGATCCGTGAGGACACTCCTCCAAAAGGATAAGAAAAGGAAAACGCACCTCGATTCGCGCCAGCATGTCCTTAACGGCCTCCCGCCGGCGGCGCCGCTCGTTGTCCTCCTTGGTGCCGATGTCCATTTTTGCCAGGTCCGCCGAGTCCTCGATCAGCACCGTGTCGCACCTAGAGCAGTGCAGCTCGTGGTCGTCGAAGTTGAGCAGAGCCGCGGCGTCGTGGGCTGTGTACCTGGATGGAACGCCGGCGGTCTTCATACGCAAAAAACTGTTTCCTGGAAGGATGCTGAGGATCGCACTTGGCGCATGGTCTTCAGAGATGAGCAGAGACGCGGCGTCATAGACGTGTATCTGGGGAAATGTTGGCAGTAGTTTTGTGCAATACGCATTTTTGTGAAGGGCAAGGTGGGAAGAATAAAACCATATTGAGAAGTTTTCCATGTCGCACTTGGCGCAGTGCAGCTCGTGGTCGTCGAAGTTGAGCAGAGCAGCGGCGCCTGCGGAAATCGTTGGCGGTTGTTGTTTTTGTGTGCAATGCGCATCTCTTGTGGCAATGTGGAGAAATAGAACCAATTCGAAGAATCTTTTGTAGCGCACTTCGCAAAGTGCAGCTCGTGATCCAAAGTTGAGCAGAGCAGCGGCGTCGTGGGCCATGTACCTGAGGGAACGAGGTCTGAGCGTCAGCGGAGTGTGTACAAAATGATGATTTTCATGCAAACGGCGGTTTTCTATGCAAATGGGGCTTTTAATCAAGGAAATTTCACGAATGGAACTTCTGCGTGGCCTGGTTGGACATTGCGCCCTCTTGCGAAGAATGCGTTTGCAACTGGGACTTAAATCTGCTTGGAGATTACCGAAGTGAGCCCGATACTTTCTGTGCGCACATCGTTAAGATTGACTACTGCTGCAGGAAGACACATGCCCTTGTACCGCTCAATTAGCGGATTCAAAAGTTGAACTTCACACTTGCTCGAGAAGGGAAACCATGATGGCTTTAAGGTGAGAGGAAGCAAGGGACTCTGAGTAGATCCGATGGTGGAACCCGCTTACCAGTGCTTGAAGGTCCGCACTTTCCCCCGAAATTTTGGAAACGTACACATGAAGGAAGTGTGGGGAGCTACTGCAGGTTGACTATATATTCACCGGTGCTGGGTAAGAACACCACTAAGTAGAAACCTACATGTTCTAACAGAATTGTGATGATGTTGATTCCAACCTGCGACTCCAATAGAGTAGGTTCAACGAAGATGCTGACGCTCACTTTGCGCCGCAGTTGGGCCCCGGACACACGTACTCCTGCACCACGTTCTTGTCGTCCACCTCGTCCCGCAGCTTTTTCCGCGCGCGCAGCAGCCGATACCGCATCACGTCCAGCGCGAGCGCGTAGTCGATCGAACAATACGTATACGTGTGGTACTTCGGCTTGGGCGCTTCCTCGTCTTCTCCGTCGTCGGCACCCCCAGGGGGTTTGGGGGGTTTGGGTTCGTGCGCGAGACCGATCTCTGCCTTGACCTCCGCCTTCACGTCGTCGGGCTTGGCTCCTCGGGGGGGCTTGGAGGGGTCTCTGAGGACAGTCTGCGCGCAAGGGGGTGGACTAGATCAGGGATTGAAGCGCCGGATTCTGTGTTGTGTCAAAGTAAAACAACGTCGGTTCCGGGCAGACCGCCTTCTTGCTCTCCTGCACGAGATTTTCACGACTGCCGTCCTCGACTGCCCCGTCAAGGGACCGAAAGATTTGTGATTCCAAAGGGGGTGGCCCCTCCTACTTTCCCGTTGTCACGAATTAATTCACCAGCTCCATTACGAGTCCGGGGCAGGTTGACAGGACCCCGCGACCTTTTTGAGTTTCTCCTCAAGTCGCAGTATATTGCCTTAGCGTCCGTCATCCAACTGGCCCCAATGACCAGACAATGTCTCCTGACGATCAAAGCGATGGCCTACATTTCCGACTGAGCCTGGCAAGATACGAGTGGGGCGATCGGCCCCTGGATTTTCTTCCACAACAGTGGTCTCTCGGTCATTACTACTTTTGTTTCGACTGGCCCCGATCCTGATGCCCGTCCCAGACGGACGAAGAACACCAATGCGAGAGAAGCAGAGCAATGGCCCACGCCTCCTGCCTGCTGTTGGACACAACAGGTCCCTTTGTGGCCTTTCTTTCGGCTTGCCTCAACAATCGACAAAGAGAATGAACATAATATCGAAACAGACTGCAAAACGATAACCTCACCTCATGCAGTCAAGCCCGACGTAATCCGTCAGGCCCTTCGTTCGACTCACCCTCACAACCACTGAAGATCAACAGAACCATACCCAGACAGAGCAAAGGATAAACTCAGCTCAATGCTCTTGTCGACTGCTTTCGACTCGCCCCGACGACACGATAATTTCACTTCCTTCTTGCCTGACGTGCACCACTATCTTCTGCGTTTGTTTTGACAAGACAAATTGCCAAACCCGATTCGACCGAGAAGCAAAGTGAAGACCCCCACCTCCTTCTTGCTGCCATTTCGCGTGCTTTCGGAGGAACCATGAGGAGCGAAAGGCCTGACGGCCCGAGAATCCTATCAAAGCAGGAGGGCAAAATGATGACTCTTACCTCCTTCCTGCTGTCGCGCACCACTATGCCCTCGTCCTGCAGCACCTTGAGAACCTTCTTGAGCTGCTTTGCGTGCAGCTGCAGGTCTTTCGCCAGCTCCTCCTCCTTGATCCACTGCCGCCGCATCAGCGTGTCGAGTACGACCACGGCGAGCCCCCGGCTCGACTTGCCCTTCTTCGGCTTGTCGCTGGGGCTGGGCGCCAGCATCTCGCCATCGTAGAAGGCCCGCGCATACAGTTTGATGAGCCTGTGGAAGAGAGGGAGGGTGTCAAAAAAAGGGCCTTCGAGAAGTACGAAAAGGAGGACTACTGACGCCCTTCCATTCTTCCCCCGGCTCGTCAGCCTCCCCTATTCGCCTTCCCCAATGGCGTATATGACAAAGGCCCAGTCTCTGACGCCCTTCTTTCAATTCGCAGGCTCCCAATCCTCATGAAAGTTGTTCCACAGAAGCACAGTGCGTTTTCGTAGAGCGCATTTGCGGACAGATTGATGAGCCGGCTGGAGGAACAAATAGCACGATCGAACATCTTTTGAGCCTCTTTGTCCATGAGAGATGGAGATCTCTTCAGCCCCCTCTTTTGGCTTGTTGGGGGCCAATTGTTGCAACAAGAGGCTCTGAACTCAAGCGTGATAAGCTGGGAAGAGCATGATCACAAACATTAGGCAAAGAAGTGTCACCATATCCCCATGTTCAAAGCAATTCGGTAGGATAAAACCTGGCTTCAAACTGAGAGGGGCTCAGCAAACTTTTGAACCTAAGTACATGTTCTTTAAAAGGGAACACTCTCGACGTTCTAAGCTCAATTTCCAATGCTGAGTCCAAAATGATTGTAGCTCACTCCTAAGAACAAGCGAATTCTAGTCTAAGGGTGCGCTTCAAAGTACAGGCTGATGATGTGCAGCTATTAGTCCATGTTTGGCACAACCTGCCAGCGCAGGCAAGAACCGCCCTTTCTGTTGTCTTTTCCAAGATTGATTGGTTAAAGGCCTGGACATCGTTGGAAAAAGATAACCAGGATGGCCTGGCTCCACGCGTATATCTTTGCCCTCGTCACCAGGATGAGTTCCAGAAGGCAAAGGTCAGTTGGACAAAGCTGACAAGATGGTGGTGGGAACTAAAGAAAACATGCAATGCTGTGCCTCATTTCTGTTCACTTCAACTTCAAAGTGACAGATACGAGCGGATTTGGCCAGAGACCAAGCTGGCACTAACTGTGACGTAAGTGCTTCTTGAAAAAGTAATCTAATAGAGGGCGCCCTTGAGGTTTCTGGTCAACAATCTTTCGGAAGTCCTGAACCAAAAAGCCCCCACACCCTCAAAAGCACCGCTCAGGTTTGATTATGTCAAGCTTCTGAGAAGAGAGTGGGACAGATGATTGACTGCATCCACAAAGTGGACGACTGATTCTCACTTTCTGTACGGCTCTGTGACCGCCATTCTGCAACCACAGGCGTGCGCTCAGAGGCACGCTCCCTCTGCCTCTGCCCTCTACCTAAACAATCTCAGAAATACGGAGGCTACTTGGCAGGGGGGTCCCTCTGAGCGTCCTCTAAGCCTGCTCCATCTGACGCCAGCATGCGCCCGGTAGCTCTGCAAACACCAGCGCTGGCACCAAAGTTTTGAGGTTCCTTTTCTCATCAGATTGAGAGTCAAGGTCAGGGACCTTTAAGGTGG